CCTAGGTGTCAGACGATGTCAATGAATGCATCTCTTAAACTAATAATTCTAACCAGATTTGACTATTTCCAGTAAAAAAATAAACAAGTAATGATCAAAAATATTATTTTCCTATATAAAATATTGTAAATTTTACCCCATCACTGGGTAAAATGTGAGACCCTGGAGTTACCAGAGGTGAGTACTTGATTCTACCAAACTGGGATTTAAGAAGAAGATTTTTGAAGTTTCAATCAATTTGACCTTTTTTGCCCTTGAGAATTGAGGACCATATAATTTACAATTTTGTTGTGCCTTTTGTCATGGAAAGTTTTTGTAAAATTTAATTATAATTGGTTCAAGAATTTTTCCAGAAGAATTGAATAATGCTTATAGTTAATGACGCTGCACAAAAGGATATCGTAATAGGTCACCCTGAAACCTGTCTCAGTTGACATAAAAGCTTCTATTGGCACACAAGTAGAGTCATAAAAATTGTATACCTTAATGCCCAAACATAATTGTCATTTGTGTGACAGTAGTCAAGATAATCCATATTTGTCAATATCATCTGGAAAATCCCAAGCTTAGTAATGTCTATTTTACATACTTTTGTTCGAAAACAGAAAATTAATTTGTGAACAAAAATCTGCCATATTCTAACTTTTGAAAACAGAAATCAGCCAAATCTTCAATATTTCAATCCAATCTGAGAGCCGTACTGACCTTTTCAACATATATGGAAACTTTAATCAAATACATATTGGTTAATAATAGCAAAACTTAAATAAATACTATATACTGTTACGTACCATAACCTACATACATCCAGATTTTGATAGTACTGTATTATACCTCTCTGATATATCACAATAATTTTATAATGCTTTATCTTCATTGAGACATATTTTAGTGGGTTTTCCCTGGAACACAACCCTGTAAATGGTACAAAATCATTACTCTCAGCAATATTATATCTACATGGCCATGCCAGTAACACAGCTCAAGTTTAACCTCAACGAAATAGTTACACCACCACAGAGAAAAAAAATATAATCGGGCGGTATGTAAAATGGATTTAAAACAATATATAACAAGAAACTGACTATGCGAATATAAAGAAACAAATCAAATCTTTGTTGTCTCTGCGTTCAAGGAGCAAAGAGTTAAAATACAAATTGTCAGCAGGTATATTTTCTGGATAGTCGCATGTGGAACACGGAGAAAGTATCATGGTTTTTTTCTTTGAAATAAAATTTCAGAGAAAAATGACAGTTTCACTGACCTTTGAACAGTGTGAACTGTAACCTTGAAACTTGGTCCGAGGTAATATTTGCGTCATTTCCCACAGCTTTTAAAAGTATTTGTCTAAACAAAACAAGAATTTGGTGAAAATAGCCTGTTTTACTTCTTCTAGGAGTTAATAACCTTTCATCTTTGACCCAGTGATCTCGAAACATGGCCAACAAAATCTTCTTTCTAACACTTTAAAATGCATGAACCTATACAAAACATTTACAGTTTTCAAACTAATTGGTATTTTATTGTTATTTCACTATTTTGGTTCTACCAGTTAATTGCCCCACCCCTGGTGGCTAAGCAGTACAACCAAAGACTATGAATATGCTGTTTTATTTGAGACATATGTACTCTTTGACATAACAATAATATCAAACACTTATCAAAAATTACAATTTCAATGCATTTATGCTAGTGATCATGTTTGGTTTGAATCCACTCAGTGGTTCCTGAGAAGAAGCAGAATATTTGAAAATGTAAACCAATGAAGACCAACGAAAGGCCATGGCAATAAGTCACTATGAACTTTTTAAAAATGTTCATATGTAGGCCAATGGAGACAACCACGTACATCTGTCATTTGTAGCAGTTTTGTTCGTAGTAATTATACAAACATAAATTGTTTGATTTTTTCCAATGAGTAAACTTAGTTGATATGCACTGTGTCAATAGACTTAACGAGACATAGACAACACAAACAGTCTGAAAATAATCGTAATTGTGTCAATATCATACACATCAATAATCAAATATTAAATAATTAATAAACGAAACACAATGTTTTACTACAGTCGAGCCTTGTTATCTTCAACTTGTATAACTCAAAGACCCCGTTTAATTTGAATCATTTCGTTTGGTCCAGCCTAACGTCTGATTCATGTTAAACTCGAATGGCTTCTGAAAACATCCAAATTATATTATTTAATATGGAGTATATAGAGACAATGAAACACAAAATAAATATGGTGGTTAAATTTGAAATGGAAAAACAATGTTGAGTTTGATTAATAAGAAGTGATAACATAGCAGTAAGCCTGCATCACCAGCATGCCTATGGCTTCATAACAAAGACAGAATTTTTTTTCTGGTTTGTTGAGGTTTTTTTTTTTTTTGCACTTTGTTCTTTCATACTAAGCTAAGAAATCAAGGAGCATAACTTTATGTGAAAAGTCAGAAACAATGTGCATTGCCAGCTCCGATGTCAGAGTGTTTTTTTCTTAATTTGACTTCATAATACTCAACTCTTTCTATCAGAAGCTCAGCTCATAATCTCTTGAAAAAAGTAACAAAAAAGTAAAAAATGTTTTCTTGATAAATAATAGTTTACCTAGTATTATTAATATTCTAATCATACATAACAATTTTTACATTTCCATTTTACAAACTAAGGAAACATCACTGAATTTTCTCTCAGAATACAACTATAATTGGTCACGGGCTAGCAATATTCTTTATTCGCATTATATTGCAAATTTTGCATATTTGAACATAAGGCCAGAAATTAAATGGCAAGGGCGCATCTATGTATATTAAAAAGCGCAATAAGGAAGCCATTTCACTCACATCCAGGTACTGCTTTAACATATATATTACATCAACATTACACTTTCACATGCATGTTTTCTTTAAAGAAATTAGATTTGTTCATAAGTAGTACACGATAATTTGTATAAAAACATGTTAGTTATCTAAGGACAGGAAAAAGGAATTCATAAGATAGCAAGAGGTTTAAAAACACTAAAGTAAAGTACAAAAAAGACAAAATAGTTCAAAATCATTCAGCAGATATTGAAAAGAAGACAGAAACAGCTATTTGATGCCATTTAATTTATAATCAGTCATGAATTTTAGCTTTTATTCAAACTGGGTTTTAAGACACTATTCAATTATCTGCCTTTTTCAGACAACAAAGAAAAGGATTTTCTAGAATCATATTACATGACATAATCAAATTATAAAATATTATCTTAATAATATTATTAATAATATTGTTAAATAATATATTGTACTAATCACACCGGGCATTTTAAAATCTTGAAATTGCTCAAACCAGAACACCAGGAGCTGGAAAGCTTCATATAATCATGCGTGCCCTATGGTTGGTCTGAACATTCAGACTGACCTAAACACAACACATATCCATCCTACAGAAAATGTTAATATTTTAATGTAGATCCATTTTCTTTTATTCTTGATGTGAAGGTAAATGTAGCGAAAAGCAAAAGTTTTTAAGTTTTCGCCAGCAAAACCTGCGAACATTAATTTCTTACTTTTTTACCATAGTAACAGATAGAATATGGGAATATCGTCTTGCCAATTGTTAAAGGCACAACAAGGACACAAGCATGATATACATACAAATTTTCATAGAGATCATTTGAATGGCTCTCAAGTTGTAGTCTGGAAAAAGGAATATATCTTGTATTTACAAATGTTTTTTTTTCTTACGTAGTAAAAGAAAAAATATCAAAATTGAAACTTTGACAATTGCAAAATACATCAGTAGGGCACTAGCTAGAAATGTGTATAATTTTTCAAAGCGATAAAAAAAAAAAAAAAAAAAACCAAACTCAAATCCATTGTAAAAGGCAAAAACTACCTAGATTTCAAATGGCAGCCCTTAAAAGTCAATAAATGAATGTACAAATGAACAAAGTCAAATTAAATATCCCCAACAAGCATGATTGGCAGGAAATGAACAAGTGGATATACAACTTAAACACTGACATATATTGTATACATTACAGTCAACAATTGTGTCTTATAATTGGTAACATAATTAAATTACATTTTGTGTATGACAGAGAGAATATGTATCACACAAAAATTATGGATAGATTAAAAAAAAAATCAAGTAGGAGAGTTTGTGTCTAAAATACCTGCAACAATTATTTCATACATAAACATTACATGTATATTGCATAGAAAAAAATATTATAATGTCAACAAATGTCTGGTTAATTATGTATTAAAGGTTAAAGGTTAAATCTTAAAGAGTATTTATCTGAGATTATTAATTTCAATAGCAGTTTTGCAATACCGGTAAATCGTTTTCAAGAATTCTTTGACAAAAATAGTTTAATATGTCCGTAAGAAATGAAGTGATGATTGGTGCATAAACAAAATAATTGAATAATCAGCCATATTTTCATATTTGTGTGATTGAGGAAAATATAATTCATAATTTTAAACTGATATTTTTTGAAAATGACTCTACAACAATATTGTTAAAATGTACCTTTATTGTATGTAATCGACTGAACATGCAATGACCCAAGCCATATATGTCCTTTCAGAAGTATCCGATAATACATAGTCATTATCAAAAATATTTTTTCTATAAAAAATGAATTTGATTGTTGAAATGACAAGGAAAAATTTGATACCTTAAATGTATCTGTTGGAATAGAGTTAAAATGTCTGTGTATCAACCTCACAATAGGTACAATTATCTTCAGCAAAATTGGAATGATATGTTTACGAGAATGTTGCTTGCATGAACCAGTTGTATTTGAGTGTGAAATAATGAAATATTTCTCAAATGCAAGATTCAGTATCAATCAATGAGGCTTTTACATATCCTTTGAAATGTGTACAGAAGTTATGAAACATCTGTCTCTCTGTTTTTGGAGATGAAGCAGCTGATGAATATACAGTGCACATCAAGAAGCAAACATATTCATTTATTTTACGTTAAATATACATATATGTAGATCCCAACGTTACCGTGGATTATAATGCATGGGTTTTTATACCTATGAGTAATACACAATTTTTATCGTCCAAAAAATGAGAAAATTAATCCAAAATTGATTTATATTCATTTGGAATGTTTCTTGTGCTGCATAATTTAGTTTTCGTATCAGAACGATCTTATCGCAAATTTAATATCTTAATATTGTGTTGTAAGAACCAGGAAGCACTTGTCAAATCCATGTCTGATATATATGACAAAACAACAGAGAACATTAACTTCCTTGAATGTTATAATTATTTTCCTTTCTCGGTTCACTACGGAATATAGAACTAAGTCAGTTACCAATATTTCAAAACCAATTTGCAACTGATTTAAATATATGTTTGGTGCCGTCAGTCAAAGAATGATAGAAAAAAATAACAAACAAACAACCACATCGTCATATTGAAAAAATATATATATGAATAAAACCATGATTTAAACCCTACAGAGTCCAAAGATTTTTGTGATATGATCTTTCATAAACAATTTCATCTGTAACAATGATACATATAAGACGCATATGAATCAGATGTGGGACCTGTACATTATTTATTAACCAGTCAAATTTATATAGAATTGTATATGAACTATGCTAGGATCTAATCCTAACAATTATAGACCTAATGACAGCTGACTTGATGCTACAAAACTTCTACTATTGTAATCGCCCATCCTGTCTCAAGCATGTTTGCCTCAGCACCACAGAATATGTATCGGTAGTTATCGCTCACATGTTCTCATCCAGTCCTTAAGGTCTGTTTCAAAGTGACAACATGATTCATTTCTGCTCAATATGGCGTTCCATCTTCCCCAACGTCCTGATGATGGTATTCCTGGATACCTGGGCCCCGTCTGATCCTCTTCAAGAAAGCCACCTGGCAAACGGACAAAAACATATAAAGAGATATCATCTTATTATAAACATTCACTTTAAACTTTTTAGCAGGTAATTTTAACGAAGAATGAAGAGGAACGATTATTTATAAGTAACGTCCATAATAACAAAACTTCTATCATCTTATTTACACATAAATTTTAAACAATGATATGACTTGTATATAATTATATTTACTTAAGTTTAAAAAATTATATAAAAATGAATTCTGTCAGCCATGTTGAATACTGTGAGTTTAAAAGTGTCCGAAAATCAACAAAAAATAAAATATATCAAAATGTTTTCTCTGAATTAAAAAGACAAGAATCCATGCATTACAGCTAGTACATCAAGACAAACAGATCAAAGCCAACTACAGAGTAGAAGTTTTGGAGCTGGTATATTTTTTTTACAATTATCAGAAAGGTTTGCAATTCTAATATGCTGAAGCTATACCAGTACATATATCCGAATAAACATGTCTCTAATCCTTTATATTGCATACTCATTTCAATCATTTTACTGTTTCTTGCAGCATTCTCACACAAATGTGTGTTAAAAGGAGATATAAGTGTTCTTGTCTCAGAAACAACAGTTGATAGTGAAAATTCCATCCCACAATTGATCTTCGTACAAAAAGGACAAAGACAGCGAGGTGTATATCAATCTATGATCCTTGATTTAGATAAGAAAGACACATGCAATATTGTGTTAAATGGAACGCACTGATAAGATTTGTCATTCTTACAAGCTTCTAGTAATTAACAGTGAATATTTATCGTATTGGAAGAAACACAAATTTTCAACATTCCAATTTGATAAATAAGTGTTGTTCTCTTCTGAAATTCAACCTTGAACATTTGAAATCAGTTTAAAAAATACCAACAATGTTGCAATAGTTTCCGGTTTTTCCATGCATTTGATGTTAACACAAAGTTGAACAAATTATTCAAGATGCGGTCTGCAAAACAAGCATTATCAAAGCAATTCATCAAACAGTAGAAAAAACAAAACAAAGGACTAAGATTTCATATTTTCAAGAAATCTGGTCAAAATATCTGAGTGCTTGAATTAGAAAGTGGTGGAAGTTAGTACCGGACTTAGCCTTGTCCTTGGTATTAGGTATGGCGTGATTACGTCAGTCGGGAGTAGGACACGTTAGAAAACCTAGGTTGAGGGGGTTCAGCAGTCAGAGGAGAGGAGAGCGTGTCCTGGGAATACAGGGCTACGGGATACTCCCTCACCCGAGGGGCCTGGTTGTGGCTTAGAAAGGCCATCTGAAGTGAAAGATAGTGCTGGTTATATAGAGTGTGGAAACCCTTAACCACAAGTTACAATGGAGGGATTTTTCATTACAGATCTTATCACTTTACATGACCAATATATGAAAAAAATGCATTTTACAGAAACTGTCCATTGAATATCACACAAATGGTTTGACATCTACAAAACAAGTCAACTGTGCTGCAAATAAAAAATACAGATAATTTTCAATATTTTTCTGCAAAAATTATATGATATGCTTTTTAATGTCAGTAAACCAATTAAATTAACCGATTATCTGTATTGCAGCCATTTTTCAATAAGACCTTGATAATTCAATAAAATTTGTGAGTAATAAAAACCACTCCTTTGTATTGGTGCATAGTAGATACAATTTTGCCAAGTGTGACGGAAATCAAAAGCTGCAAAGACGAAATCTTATTTCACATAACTTGTTAAAAAACGACAAAACAACTTGTAATTCTCTTTTTACTATGCTTTTACCGTAGTTGAACCATGTCACTCAAGAAACCATTTACATAGATAATAGTCTGCATCTATTTTCTTCTACTCTGTAAAAATGTCAAATCTATACATTCTTTGTTAAAATCGTTGTATAGATTTCATTTTGATATTGATTGTATGTGAATGTTTTACAAAATTAATTTGTTCATAACATTTGATATCACAAATTGAGCTATTTTCTCGCAAACAGACACAAAAAGATATTTAACACTGATCATAAAAACCACAATATAGCTGAATTTACATTATTTTCGAATTCTAAAAATTTTTTATAATTACTGGGAACATTTAGAAATGGTTTATCTATTCGCATGTATATAAAACAAAGCGAGTCATGTGATATCAATCTGATTAAAGTTTCAGTTATTTTATAAAGTTTAGCCATTTATAGAAAAACATGATTCATAAAAACATTTAAATTTACTAAATAATGGAAAAATCAAAATAAAATTTTCAAACAAATTTGTTTTGATAATAATGTCTTATCTATGAGATTTGTTTCAAACCGAGCAATGAACCAATCAAAATTACTCATTAGAAAAGATAAATTACTGTGTATGCCATTGCAGCATATATACAGGGAGGACGTCATCTTCTGTTTTTCTCTTCCACCAACGTCATGCAATCAAGCAAACCCGACTAATTTTACTAAGAAGCATATACAGATTTGATCATATATATTCTACAATTGATATATATTGCATATATTCTAGCTAAGAATAGAAACACACAACCATCAAATTTACATTCATCAAAGTTTCATGGTATATGCATATTCTTGACACTACACAGGAAGTATAGTAATTAAGCAAGGTTGAAAAATCGCTCACCATGATAGTTAATCAACCGTGTAAAATTTTTAAGTAACATCACTATTGACCAATCCTTTTTTGCCCCAAATACAATATCTTTTATTGAGTCTTGATGTTCCATAAAACTAGGTTTATTTTTCAAACTTTGATAAAGCTACAAACTAGCTTTGAAATGACAACAATTGATGAAAAGACTGTCAACTGACATACCAAAGTAGCTGTGTAATGATCTGCAATACTGAGAGAATGAAAATGGGCCAGCTTTATCACAACCAGCATACAGTGCTGGGAATTATCATCTATAGGCACCTTCATGGCATCACACCCTTATTCTAGCAAGGAAACGCTTAAAAGAGAGTACACTTAATCCTGAATTTGGGCAATGTCTACCCTGATAGTTCAAACTCTAATTTATTTTCACAAGCCAAATTTCCTATAATACAAACAAGTTCCACAATATCTAATAAATATTTTTTGAACTGATCGAAGGTTTACTGTAAAAGTAGGTATCTATTTCAAGTCATAGAGACTAAGCTGAAAGTACACAAAAGAGATGACCTTCCCAGTTATAGTAAGGTCACTGATCGAACATTTATGGGGAAATTTGGGGGCACAACTGGTCAATAAATAGCTAAAACAGATATACCAGTCGACACTATCATGAAGAGTGGAATAGCGTCTACAATGACCAATATGTTGATTGGTACCATGGTTTCGGTGCTTCAGGTAATGATAGCCACACACTACAAACACACACAATTTATTGTTGTTTATAATGAAACCCAGTCCTTTTTTACCTGCCTGAATGACATTGACATCATAAAAAAAATGTTATTTGGCAAATACATGTGTTTTTCTAAATTGAACCACCACCATATTTACTGATGTGCAAAAGTCAAATCGCTTTAATATAATAGATAATGGTGTATTGTGAAAGGATTTTGACACAAACACCAGATTACCTGGTACAGTGTACTACTGAACAAAGCTTTCACCATAATGATTTATCTCAGAGCGTGAGCTCAGCCAAGTTTTAATAACTTCAAATAATGGGATATCACCCAACATACAACCTTATATACAGTCATCTATCTTCTCATGAAACTCATACAAGTTGTGGCCATTTGAGGAGTTTAAAATAGCATGCATTTTCTTCCGTATATGACACACACAGGTGTAATATGATATCCATTTTTATTTTTTATTCAGTGTAAAAATAATAACTTGTATTTTTTCTAATTTCTCGCTTTCTTTTAAGATCATAATTTTTGTTCATGTCACCTTAATGCTAATAATCACTTCAAGTAGTCCTCCCTCGAAAATAGTTCATAGTTGTGCACTGTTAAGTCTACTGCTATAACTTCTGTAAAGTGCATGCACTTTCCTTCATATTTCATTATGTTTCATAGTGTCTTTTCTGTGTTTCACTTCTATATTTTACAAAGGTGTTTGTGTGAAGGCCTCAATTTGTGTCATGCTTTAGAACTGTGTATTTGTCAAGTGTCCTTTATATTAGGCTCTCTGTTGACAGCTTGAACTTTTCAGTTTTCACATCAACACTTTCATTAAAAACAAACATATATCAAAATGAAAGTGCATGTGTGAAAGTCTACTCATTCATATAAAAGCGACGATGACGAATTTCACATCAGTCACGTATCAAAACAAGACCAATTTCAGATCTAGCTCAGGGATATGCAGACTAGTCCTAGTCAATCAACAGGTTATACATTTTACAAGCACTTGAACACTATTGATATAAAGTAGATATTGGTTTGACTCTCAGCATCAGATGCATCTTGTATTACGACAGTTACTGTGATCTTTCCACAATCATACAGGCCCTCACTTCATGAAACTTCCTTAGTTTAATGAAATCTTAACTATCAAAGAGAAGTATTACAAAGTTTCAGAAAGAAACTTAACTTTGAGGAAATTTCCTTAACATATGTAATGCTTTCCTATGTGCAATTCTAAGTAAGAAAAATTCCTTAAGTTGAGGAAGATTAAGGATACTCGGGCATGATATTGTTATCTGAGTTGGTCTTTGATATAATTACTAAACGATATATTTTTATTGACTAAGCAATCAGGGATATATATGCTGTTTTAACTATTATTAAAAGTAGATCATAGAGCCCCGCCTTTAAAATGCAAACCATTTTAAAAATGACCTCCTAACAACGGTTTTAACCATTAATCATGTCTGTTCTATTATAAATGATATATTTGACCGCTGAAGCTGTGACGCCACATCATGATGGTACCAGTCAAAATGAACTTGGAAGATGTTTCCTATTAGGCACAATAATATTTCATTGTAACACAATTAATCTTTTGTATGTCATACAACACCTGAGACAACTTATCTTATCTCAAAAAATTTCCATTGCTGTTGTGATTTCCTGAACAGATACATGTATAACAAAAAATGCATGCCTACTGAAAATAAAGCATCGGTTAAATCAGGGTTGACTGACATGTAATAAACAAGGAGAACAGTAGTGAATATTCAACAACGGTTTTACACTTTTAATTTAATATAAAGTGACAATGACAAGAAAGAGTAATGCTATTTGAAAATGTCCTCGTTGATATTTTACATAAAACATTTTAGTACAATAAAACTTAAGGGCGGAAAAATATGTGCATGTCACATGTCATATTGTATCCGTTTATACCTGTTGTATATAATTAACAAATGATCTAATTTCAGTACGTGACACTCTGCCATCCTAAGACAAACCATACTAGAAGTTATAAAAATCAACAAAATTTTAAATGACTTTAACTGCCGAACATTAATTTGGTCTTTAAGGCTAGAAATGTATCAATGTAATCTGATAAAACAAGAAACTAGTTTAAAATCACAATATGAGCATTAGGACTAATTCTGTACATAATTATTTATCTTAACATATACCAGGTACAACTAGAGAGCAGTCAATAACAATTGTTTAGATAATGACAACACAACTCCATATAATTTAATACAGACAAACTACAACATTATCAATAATCTTAAGGCACTATAAAAAATAACCATGTCCAACCTCATTAACCATCATAATTAATGTAACCATGTGATACATCAACTCCATCATAATTAATGTATCCTTGTGATACATCAACTCCATTATAATTCATGTATCCTTGTGATACATCAACTACATCATAATTAATGTATCCTTGTGATACATCAACTACATCATAATTCATGTATCCTTGTGATACATCAACTCCATCAAGTCCATCATAATTAATGTATCCTTGTGATACATCAACTCCATCATAATTAATGTATCCTTGTGATACATCAACTCCATCATAATTAATGTATTCTTGTAATACATCAACTCCATCATAATCAATGTATCCTTGTGATACATCAACTCCATCATAATTAATGTATCCTTGTGATACATCAACTCCATCATAATTAATGTATCCTTGTGATACATCAACTCCATCATAATTAATGTAACCATGTGATACATCAACTCCATCACAATTAATGTAACCATGTGATACATCAACTCCATCAACTCCATCATAATCAATGTAACCATGTGATACATCAACTCCATCATAATTAATGTATCCTTGTGATACATCAACTCCATCATAATTAATGTATCCTTGTGATACATCAACTCCATCATAATTAATGTAACCATGTGATACATCAACTCCATCATAATTAATGTATCCATGTGATACATCAACTCCATCATAATTAATGTATCCTTGTGATACATCAACTCCATCATAATTAATGTATCCTTGTGATACATCAACTCCATCACAATTAATGTAACCATGTGATACATCAACTCCATCATAATTAATGTAACCATGTGATACATCAACTCCATCATAATTAATGTATCCTTGTGATACATCAACTCCATCATAATTAATGTATCCATGTGATACATCAAATTAATGTATCCATGTGATACATCAACTCCATCATAATTAATGTAACCATGTGATACATCAACTCCATCATAATCAATGTATCCATGTGATACATCAACTCCATCATAATTAATGTATCCTTGTGATACATCAACTCCATCATAATTAATGTTTCCTTGTGATACATCAACTACATTATAATTCATGTATCCTTGTGATACATCAACTCCATCATAATTAATGTATCCTTGTGATACATCACACAACTCCATCATAATTAATGTATCCTTGTGATACATTAACTCCATCATAATTAATGTATCCTTGTGATACATTAACTCCATCACAATTAATGTATCCTTGTGATACATCAACTCCATCATACTTAATGTATCCTTGTGATACATCAACTCCATTATAATTAATGTATCCATGTGATACATCAACTCCATCATAATTAATGTATCCTTGTGATACAACAACTCCATCATAATTAATGTATCCATGTGATACATCAACTCCATCATAATTAATGTATCCTTGTGATACATCAACTCCATCATAATTAATGTATCCATGTGATACATCAACTCCATCATAATTAATGTATCCTTGTTATACAACAACTCCATCATTATTAATGTATCCTTGTGATACCATATGTATTCAGTATTTTTGTATGCCTTGTGTTATTTTGTCAATATACACCGGGTTAATGGAGAATAAGATATTACTAGGATTGACAAAAATTTCCGTGATGGTGTTATTGATGAAGCATGTAAGAGATGTTTACCCAAAGCATCAGATTTGATTTGATTTTCAACATCAAGGTCTTAGTTTTCGATTTTTCTCTCATCAAAAAGTTACCTTAGTTTTATTTATTTTGAGTTTGGTTTCAGACTGGGTCAACAAGTCAGCTTTTTGTTATAACCCAATATCTATCTATACATGTTTTTTATGTGTTGAAATTGTTGACGCTGAAATATATATAAATATCTTATGATTCAAAATTTGATACTACACTAAATTTTTCTGTGCTGCAGGTCACAAGCAAATACAGGTTTGTTTATATACAAAGCTACAAGCTTATTTCTAGGATAGTTTTGTTGTCGGCTTATTTTTGATATCATTCTGTTACCAAATCATATGTCATTCAAGCAGGCAACAAAAATATGGGTTAAGATATACAATATAACACTATGAGTATATAATGTTTAGACACATAAAATGTACACCCACTAACGCCCACCACCGTTAGTATTTATGTAGTTAGAATAGAGGTGAACTTACTTTCATTTGTGATGGAGTCAAGCGACTGAAAGTTTCTCTGTCAAGTCCGAATACTATCGCATTGACAGCACCTACAAATAAAAGTCATTACAGTCCTGATAAACTATTAAAAGTTTCCTGGAAAGAGAAGTGAAGTAACGACCTGACCATAACTAAAACTGATGATTAGAAACGTTTATTACAAGGAGGAGGATTATCCTTGATATACTTGATATCAACAGAAGGACTGATGGCCTATATATTGTTAATTCATTCTACAGCTTTAAAACAGAATACTTTCTCTGTACAATCAATCTCCAGAAGAAAAAAATGTATTTTTATACTAACTTTGTACAAAGAAGATGTGATCTGGATTTTCTGATTATACTAACCTTGTATAGGAGAGGAAAGAGCTGATAGCACCATGAGTGGAAAGACTGAATATTCTGATTATACTAACCTTGTATAGGAGAGGAAAGGGCTGATAGCACCATGAGTGGAAAGACTGAATATTCTGATTATACTAACCTTGTATAGGAGAGGAAAGAGCTGATAGCACCATGAGTGGAAAGACTGAATATTCTGATTATACTAACCTTGTATAGGAGAGGAAAGAGCTGATAGCACCATGAGTAGAAAGACTGGGTATTCCAATTATACTGACCTTGTATAGGAGAGGAAAGAGCTGATAGCACCATGAGTGGAAAGACTGGGTATTCTGATTATACTAACCTTGTATAGGAGAGGAAAGAGCTGATAGCACCATGAGTAGAAAGACTGAATATTCTGATTATACTAACCTTGTATAGGAGAGGAAAGAGCTGATAGCACCTGATAGCACCATGAGTGGAAAGACTGAATATTCTGATTATACTAACCTTGTATAGGAGAGGAAAGAGCTGATAGCACCATGAGTGGAAAGACTGAATATTCTGATTATACTAACCTTGTATAGGAGAGGAAAGAGCTGATAGCACCATGAGTGGAAAGACTGAATATTCTGATTATACTAACCTTGTATAGGGGAGGAAAGAGCTGATAGCACCATGAGTGGAAAGACTGAATATTCTGATTATACTAACCTTGTATAGGAGAGGAAAGAGCTGATAGCACCATGAGTGGAAAGACTGAATATTCTGATTATACTAACCTTGTATAGGAGAGGAAAGAGCTGATAGCACCATTCTGAGGAAAGTATTCCAATTAGACCTTGTATAGGAGAGGAAAGAGCTGATAGCACCATGAGTGGAAAGACTGAATATTCTGATTATACTAACCTTGTATAGGAGAGGAAAGAGCTGAGAGCACCATGAGTGGAAAGACTGGGTATTCAGGTGATATGGCATTCTGTATTCTATAGAAAAAGAAACATGATATAATAATAATGTTAGAATGCTGATATTCAATGATGAGTAAGCATTATGATTTTTAAGGATTTATTATGAAGAAATGTACACATTATCTTGTTTACTCTCAATATTCATAACAAGTATACTGGGTATGGCAGCTCATTCTTTACCTTCTTTGTTAATTTTTAGTTCTTCCTTCAAAAACAATGCTAAGTAAGTAACAGGTGTTTTCTCGGCTGTCCAGAGCATAAGAAAACAAAGCAACGACAAGTTGTAGAATTTAATCCACAATCCTCCTTAAGATTAAAAATACGACTAAAATTGAGGAAAAATTGATAATAGTTAATTGATGAAATATAAATTTGCTTAAATTACCTGTTAATTAGAGGAAATATAGACACAGCCAGGTATATACAAGGGTAGGCACGCAGCGGTTTGATGTCCTCTTTCATTAGTTCTTTGTGATGTTCGGTGTCAGGATCATAAGTCCCTTGCCATGATGATGCCTGAAGTTAATCCAAATAGGTATGTAGAATCTCTAATATGGACCTTGTTTGTAGTGTGAACGGAATATCTCAAGAACTCATGTATCAGTTACTTATATCCAATTTAATGTGAACTTATATGTTCTTTTGTACCAAAAATAAAGTTGTATGTAAAACAGTTTCACTTTAGTACAAAAAATAAAGAAAGTAGTTAGAAGTCATAAGATAGAAATAAAATCAATCACTTTGTAATCTCTTCTAATAACGAACAGCAGAACACCTAAAGAATCATCCCTCTATTAACCTCTACTTACCTCATCCTCAATACTCCAAGCGTTACACTAACTATTGTCTTTTGCACCCCTGGAGCGTTTTTCTTGACAAATTTGAATGCAAAAGCAAGTAATCTGATTGGTCAAGAGAAGGAAATAACTGACCAATCACAGATCACCAGGCTCCTTTGAAGATTACAAAGAAGCTACACCCAATTTAAAAGCTAGTACAACAAATGGTAATGCTACCACGTACATCAAAAGATCAAACTAGTCTTATTGTGTTACCCACATTGTGTCGCACATGGAACCTTCAATTTGCTATGAAATGTTCAAGGCGTGCAGAGAACATTTGTAAGTGTAACCTCTGGAATACTGAGAATGACTTATCGTAATAAATATATATACCTATATACAGTATATACATATATACCTATATACAGTGTATGTATAACTATATACAGTATACATATATATACCTATATACAGTATACATATATATATACCTATATACAGTATATATATATATATATATATATATATATACCTATATATAGTATATATATATATACCTATATATACAGTACATACCTTTCTTGTCAGTATGTAGGTAATGTAGATGTACACTACAAACAGGCAGAATATTGTCAGGAAAAGTGGTCCATACCATCTGTAAATAAAATAAAATTGTACAATTTATGATATAAATATTACATAATATGAAGAAATGTTAAAGAAGTATACAACATTGTCGAGAAAGGTTTTTTTTTTTTTTTTTTTGCAAAATTCTACTGGGTAACTACAGTAAAGCCATGTTTGTTCTTATAAAAAATATATATTGTACAGAACCAGTATCCGTGACATAGGATATGTTTCGTTTGAACCAAGGTCTCCGTAATTATCATTTACAATACCTTGATCAGATACATTTGGAGCCAAGCATTTCATTAACAAAACTTGTTTTTTCTGTTTTTGTAAAAAATTTAGACAGAAAAAAAAACCAAACATGGCTGACCAGAACCAGTATGTAATAAGATACAGCTTCTGACTTATCTTGTTACAATACTTTTAAGTATCTTATCGAAGTAGCTTTTCTGTAACTATTACTGATATAAATCAACCAATTTCTGAACAGGAAATGTCAGCAAACATTTCAGCCTGCTTTGTGCTTTCATGAGCAATACAGAATTTAAGATACTGCATGCTGCTAATACAAAACACAATTTTGATTAAACTGATATTAAAATAAATGTAGGAAATAAATAAAAAATAAAAAAATGGCTTTTTATTTGTGAAAATTTGAAAAAATACCTTTACACAAGAAAATTTGTTAGCTAAACAAGAAGGCATGTATGTCACAGTATGGAGTTTTTAAATTTGTCAAAAGTTATAATAAAATATTAAATCATACTTACATTCCTACCCTCCAATGCCAATTGTCTTCTATCCAGCTAGAGAAAATCAGATCAAGTCATGTTTGTTCAGCAATGATTCAATTATAGAATCACAAAGAAAAATATAAAAGGCAGGTTAATTGTTGAAATTTGGACGATCAAACCTCGTGTCATTTTAAAATCTGACAACATATCATAACAAAAAATAGGAAAAAATCAAAAGAATCTGACAGACACAGGTGGTCTACTGGGTTAAACATTTTTGTACAGCTAAATGGAATGTAACACTGGTGTAAATTCGGCCCATCTACAGAGCACAAAAACTTTGTCAATGAAAGACCTATCTCAATACCACAATTCCCACAGAGCTAGCCAAGATTTTCAAGATGATGGTCAAACATGGCTTGGATCCTGAAATGTGATTCTGGCCCTCTTAACAATAAGACCTCAACAGAGCTGACCATAAGTAACTTATTAGTGGACATCTAGCTACACAATATTTTGCTAATGGACACTGTGTTGTATTTCAAATATGACTTTCTGATCAGAAGTATAATGACATGGTTTTCAAGAAAACTTGCATTGTCACCTATCCAAATTTAATAGGAACCATCTGAGCACCATACATATGTCTAAATTTAGATACAAACTGTCTGAACACCATACATATGTCCAAATTTAGAAACGAAGAATCTGCACACTATACATATGTCCAAATTTAGATAAGAACCCTCTCCACACCATACATATGTCTAAATTTAGATACAAACTATCTACACACCATACATAACTCTACCATAACTAATCCAAGTTATTACCTAACAACACATTACTACATGTTGAGAAAGTTCTGATGCCAAACTCTAGTCTAGAAGTAGTACACAGCTAAGGCAAGACGATACTTACCACCAAGCTCCTGCGGGGCCATAGTGATTTCCTATGAAGGGTAGACATGATAAGACTAAGGGAAGGCCCCAACACAGCACATGGTAAACCCTGTAAACAATGAATAAATAAGGCTTTACACAGCACAGGAAACATCAAGTAATGACTACAAATTACAAACCCCCAAGATGTCACATGATACAAACCCTGTAAATAAAATAAATGATCTCCAATAAAGTACTTATTCTAAAATGATGGGGATAGACACGTAAAATATTTTTTGATCAAATTATTTTCAAAGCCAAACCACCAATACATTGCCATGGCATCTTCAATGATTCACCTGTCTATTGTACAACTATAAGCTCAAAGGCTACATGTACATGTGAGCCATTTTATCAATCTACATTTAACTTAATGAACCGTTATCTTCGCCACTCACAGAAACATGTGCTGAATTTCAGCTTTGCACACCAGGAATTCATATGGACATTCATTTTGACAGATAATTCAAAAAGAAAAATATTTAAAGCCTTTGTATTTGCCTCATCCTACACCCTGATCATCACTATCAACAACTTCAGTTGAAAGTTTCTACATCATCAATGGTTGAATGGAGCAATATAATTGGTTAAGAACAAATGGGGGGCTTTTCAGAACAAAAATGTATACATGTCCGCTTTTGTTGATTTTCTCTCATTAAAATATTTGTATCACTTGTGTTCAAAATAATTTCAGAAAGAGATATTTTGTTTGTTTTTTAACAGATTAGATCAAGAATGTTGTCATCTTTAAGCAAACAAAATTCATTATGTAATATCAAGTAGATATACAAAACTCTGCAAAGCATATTAACCCCTTAATATATATATATACCCTGTGATTGATATGAATGTTATAAAGGTCCCAACACAACACATAATATACCCTGTAAAATAAAATGAAAAAAGGCCCCAACACAGCACACGATAACACGAGTATCTGTAAAACTGATTAATACTTCCCAATAAGGATTTTTATGGACACAAAGTTTCAACAAAGGGCAATAATTCTGTAAACAAGGGGTTTAGGGATTCATTTCATACACCGTATATTCTTTTTAGCATGATCAATGCATACACCAAGTTTCATTATCCTAGGTTAAATGAAAGTAATTTGAACAAAGGACAATAACTCTGTAATTAGGGAGTAACTGCACTGAAGTTTGTACACTGCACATCCTCTTAGTATGATCAATTTATATACCAAGTTTCCATAACCTACTGTAATTACAAGGAAATTTATGTTCCTGACACTTTTAACAAAGGGCAACAACTCTGTAATTGAGGGGTCAAAGACCTTAAATATTGTACATTGCATATCAGCTTGGCTTAGTATGACCAACGTATATACCAAGTTTCCTGATGAACTATAACCTGTTATTGTAAGAACCAACATTTTACAAAGATAACTCTGAGAGTCTAATACTCTATGGGATGTTATATAACATTATTAACTCACCATTCCAGTGACTCCTTTGTGATCATTTTGATAACATTTAGGTAGAGGTTAAAGGTTATACAGCACACCCACAACAGAACTGTCCAATCTGTAACAGAAATTAAGTACATTTCGTCACTGTACACACCCACAACTTAAGTATATTTTATCACTGTACACACCCACAACTTAAGTATATTTTATCACTGCACACACCCACAACTTAAGTATATTTTATCACTGCACACACCCCACAACTTAAGTATATTTTATCACTGCACACATCCACAACTTAAGTATATTTTATCACTGCACACACCCACAACTTAAGTATATTTTATCACTGCACACACCCACAACTTAAGTATATTTTATCACTGCACACACCCACAACTTATGTACATTTCATCACTGTACACACCCACAACTTAAGTATATTTTATCACTGCACACACCCACAACTTAAGTATATTTTATCACTGCACACACCCACAACTTAAGTATATTTTATCACTGCACACACCCACAACTTAAGTATATTTTATCACTGCACACACCCACAACTTATGTACATTTCATCACTGTACAGAAATAATAATAAATTTGATTAATAACATTGTTATTATTATCTATTTTTCAGACCTGAGGTAATATATCTGTATGTCAAATATTTTCCTACAGCGTTGTACCCATACATCAATTCAACATGTGTATTTTCCTATACATGGTACAAATAGCATGCTAATATATAGATTTCAATAACTCAGTTAATTTCTCTTCCTGTCAAGGAATGAAGAAACCCTTAGTCTACCTTAATGTCATCAGATTAAATTACATATTTGTTTGTCTACATCATATAATATTCTTGTCTGTATCTTATTAAAATCTGTAAATAACAATACCCATTCTTTAATGGTATTGTCTATTAACACAGTATTTATAGCAAATTTTCAAGTTGTCAGAGCTGATGTCACCTTCAACAGACTTTCATTGTAATACAAAGTCTGATTGGAACTGAGAACATCTGCCAATCGATGCACAATGTTTATGAAATCTTCAGTCAAAATAAGAATGTGGTCATACAAAGGGAAATAACTCAATGAACTATCCAGCACCACTTACAAAACGTTTTTCAAACATAATGTCTTTTTTATAGAGTATAGTAGATTGTACCAGATTGTCATTTTGCCATGTTCATAAAAATATACATATTACATGATTAGCTTCAGGAAACCATTTAATATCTATTTAATATTTGTAGCTGTATTACATCAACTTTGTGTACAACACATTCAAGCTGACTTCCAAATGACTGATATTTCTGTTTATTTGTTTATATCAAATTACAGTTGAAAACAATTATTCTTTTTTAATAAAAAAAAAAAAAAAAACAGCCTACCAAAAAAGGTCATCCACCAAGCCTGAAAGTCACACAAAGGTCCATCTGGTCTCAACCCTCCCTGTAAAAATATAATAAGTCAATCACATCCTTGATACTGGTGTAATAATCTTGTGTTATTTTCATTTTACTTTGTTTTTGTGCCTTTGAAAATTTTCTCCGATCTCTTTTATGGCTTTTAGATTAACATAGGATATAGATATATATATATATATATACATAAATATAAATATATACATAACTGGTTTTGTGAAATTTCTGTGTAATGGATACGAAGTTTGTAAATGGGAAACAAAATCAACTCTTTCCCATTATAGTTGTGAATATCTCATTTCAAATTTAATTCAGAATTTATATTACAATAATGTTGAAAAAAATTTATTATTTCTTGGGAAATTATGATGTTGTGTATATGTATAGAGCCATATGTTTAGAAAAAAATGAAAGTGATAAATCAGTAGCCATATTGAATCGATACATGTTCATGTACTCGGACACATACAATATGATAAACCTACCATTAGATAGGATATAGAATTCAACAGGGCACCAATGCTCAGGTACATGATCAGTCGCTAAAAACAAATATGTATCTATATGTATACTAAAATTCAATCGTTGGATATAAATTAGAGGCAATCAATCATTCTTAAACTTTCTGCAGATTTGAGAAAATTCTTATTCTTATGACTTTCTAGGTAACTTTATCTATCAAATATTTTGGCCTTTTAAAATTGTTTACAAAATGAAAAATATTCTTTTTTGTTCTTTTCACTGTAATCTGTCTTACAATATGTCATTATTGCATTATTGATTAGAACATAATGCTATCAGATTTTTCCACTTATCAGGTAGTTAATATTCGTGCTAAATCTTTTATTCGTGCTAAATCTTTAAAAAAAAAAATGATGTTAATATGTCCCTTCTTAATGCTCTTGAGTTCGAAAAAAAATATACAAGTACAGGTGTACTGATGAATTTTAATGTTGACAATTTAAAAAATAAAAAGAATATTTCAATTGAAATTTAATTTTTTTACTTACCTGAGAAAACGCTGCATATTTTTTAAAGAGCCAAATAACAGATATCATGAAGATACTGAAAGTGAATCATTTTTATCAAATGTAGTTATCTCCCTTGGTAATAAAAACATGATGAAGTCAGTTCAACAGTTCAAATCTAGGAAATCACCACCATCTCGATCATTTTAGTCATATTACTTTAAATTACTTCAAAATTATGAAAACAAAAAATATAGAAAATCAAAGACTGCTGAAAGACATGATAAAGTTATAGATTTGTGACCACCTATCATAATATGAATGCTCAAATATCTAAAGTTTCTGAAAACTTCAATGTTTAAAAATCTAAAGTTTCTGAAAACTTCAATGTTTAAATATCTAAGGTTTCTGAAAACTTAAATGTTTGAATATCTAAAGTTTCTGAAAAATTAACTAAGATTTTTAATTAGACTGCATGAGAGTATTCCAATAATGACTACTAATGACCAGTAATATATAATCAATACTTTGTGTACGAGATGCTGACAATTTTCTAAACACTAATTCGGTTTGTGCATAAATAATGAGAACTTGCACTCTCATGCACATAAAGCAGGCCTGCTTCAGTAAAGAATGATCATATTGTCACTTCAGACAATATCCCCTGAGGCAACAACTTCATCAATTATTTATCTCTGATGCCTGCGACTACATGCAGGCTGCTATTAAAAAGTCTCATTGATGAAACCCTGGCATTTTCCTGATAAATGAGACATTTTCAGGAAAATCCACAGCCATCAATTTAAAACTTACATGGATGTGACTGAGAAGTAAAAACATCAAACACTGTACTTTTAACTATCACACTGCATATTTTTTGTAATTTTTGTCAAATATGCAACAATGATATTGTTCTCTCTACTACAATTCTGTTTGTCTATTTCTGCCTTAAGCTTTAATTCTAATAAATTAAAAGCTATTTTTAAGAATTTAAAACACATTTTTGTACAAATGAATAATTAACAAGGAAACAAATGTATACTAACTTTCATTAATGAAATTTTGAAACAAAAACTTGAAATAACAAAATGTTTCACATATATATATATATATATACTGCCTTATGTATAGTACCTTGAACTTGGCTCTTAATAAAGCATAAAATGATGTAAACACTCAAAAGACCTGTAGATTCAATCAACCAGTATACTTCAGCAAGTATTCATTATGACCTATACGGTACCACGGGAATTTGCCCCTGTAATATTTTTTGTTCTTATGTCACTAGTGTAATATGCCCTTGAAGGTTTTTCATTGGCTGTGCCTATCATAAATGATTACGATATCATAACATCGACAGCAATAAAGTTACATCATTAACTAAGGATGGTGCAAGATAATGGATGCCTTCTTTTGATTTATACCTAACATTAAAAAAAATCTGTCAAAATGTAACTTTTCTGAGGTTTGCGATAAAAAGCACTTCATTTTCATTTCTTTTGCCATTTTTATGAAACTGTCTCCAAGTTTTAACCTTTGCTAGCAGCCTCGTATTAACAAAAACCTCCAAGACTCATATATGAAATGTAAAATTTGTTTAAGATCTGATATATTTGTACAAATATATCCATTAAAGACAAACACTAAAGGCTAACTAATGGTTTCCCTGATAGAATATCTTGTATATTTGCATTTATATATCGTAAGGCCTGAGGTCTGTTTCAGGAGTTCATGCATGCTTAACTGTTTAAACACTGACAACTGAATGACAAAAACACACATCAGAAAAACAGGTACAATTGATTTGTAAATAATACACAGAACAAATTATCTTAGTTCATTTACACAGTCATAACTTTGTTTACCTGAAGATTGGTTGACATCCACCTTACTTAAACCCATTGACAAAATCTCACCAGTTATCTTCTAGGTCTTCTAAAATAAAACACCAGTTGTCTTCTACATGTACTTACCAACCCACCAAAGATAAAACACCAGTTGTCTTCTAGACGTAGTTACCAACCCACCAAAGATAAAGCACCTGTTGTCTTCTACATGTACTTACCAACCCACCAAAGAGAAAGTTACCAACCCACCAAAGATAAAGCACCTGTTGTCTTCTACATGTACTTACCAACCCACCAAAGAGAAAGCACTAGTTGTCTTCTACATGTACTTACCAACCCACCAAAGATAAAGCACCTGTTGTCCGTCGTATTGCAATCAAGACATCCTGAAATACAAGACATATATATTCAGCATCTGTCTACATCTATGGCACAATTTTACAGCTTGCAGAATCCAAATCTGTATTCTCCAAACTGAATTATTACCTGTTTATTTAGCTATCAATTAATACAATTGCAGTGTGATCACTGAACATGTAGTTGGTCCATACTACCGTGTACAGTCAATGATGAAATTAAAACCATTCATTCTGTCCCCTTATGTTTGCTTACTACACGGTTATATACAAACAACAGTGAAACATTATTGGTTTCAATGCAGCAACAACATCAATAATCTCCATGGAATATATGCCTGTTTTTAGCCTGATAAGGTAAAGTTTAACAAATTATATATGTTTATTTGTCAAGTTTTCTTCTGAAAGTGATAAAAACTATCATTGACTTTTTGAACACGTAAATGAATTTTTTGGGACTCCGATATTTCAGTCCTGCATGGCCTCATATATTTTTCTTGTAGGACTCACCAAACTTTTGAGAACTCACCAAACTTTTGAGAACCCACTATAACTTTCAGTAATGGAACTCATCAAAGTTTTAGAAATTGTGCTCTCGACATGCATGAAAATATCCTACAAAAGAAATACTATACGACCTCTGTAATATTTACAGAAGGATACACGGGCGACCATTTTAGGATTAAATATCAAAATCCCTTTAGTCCTCCAGTCATAACTTATGTGAATTTCTCACTGAGTGTGAAATATTTCCGTTAAAGTGTAAATAAAATTTGCTTCCTTATCCCAGCACTTTTGTGTACATGATATGGAGAAGTTTCCTTCCTTAATAAACACACAGATCAATTGATGACTCGCTTAAGTTAACTACCTGAGATGTCTTTATCAACAAGAGGAATTTGTGTTTTAAACCACTTAAGTAGTAATAATGTTACTTAGTTAAAATTTTTATCTTAGAAATACTTCCTGGAAATATTTTTAAGATAAAAATTTTTACTGAATTGATGTTACATAAAACTCATCGACAACACTATATTTTGCAGGTCTCTTTATTTGAGATAGACATCACCTAACTAGAATCAATTTTCATCTCCTAATACCGTTGTAGCCGAATGTTTTTCGACTATAGGTGAGTTTGATTATCTGTCTGCACTTCTGCTTTTTTCCCAGTAACTTTCGGGAATCTTTGGCACATAAAATCTGTGACGTCATGCCGCCAGGCGGTAGTGACTTGTGTAAACACACTGAGTGAAAGTCTTATATCATATGATAGGTTTATAATCTGTCTTATTTCAGCATTGATGGTACATTGTGTTGTGTAGAAGTATAATAAAACTGGTGAAAAATCATAACTATTTATGTGAACTTCATAAATACAAAATGATAAGGAAAAAATGTGAAACCTAACACAGCTGAGACCAACAACAAGGAAAGAAACAGTCAGTAGAACTCTTCAATATCTATGTATACCCATTAAGTTAACTGGATGGCACACATCAATATCAGCTGGTGCAGACATCCCTTTCATGTCAAACATATATCTGGATGAACACTTTGACACACCTGAGAACAGGTGTGCGTCCAGTGTCATCATCAGGTCTCAAGACATTTGATTTACCTGTATATTTTCATACAGGTAAAGCAGACTTAGAGAGTGGATATTGTTTAAATATTTTCTATTATGTCCATTATTATAAAGCCAAAGCATCAGTTGAAAAAGCAATATATTTATGTAACAAATATCTGCCAAAAAGCCTAAGAATGGTGAGACCTATAGTAAAACAGCAAAGAATATCACATTTTGGATAGTGCGTTTGGTGATTTTTTTGCCAACAAAAAACATAGCTAATTGTTTTGATCTATCTTATCAAAAAGTGAGCCAAGAGTTCCTTCCTTTAAGTAACACAGGTAAAACTGTCCGTCTTGCTGCCTTATCAAGATGAATTCAGATTCCAATTAAGTAATTAGTGTCCTGTCACTACCACTATTCCCTTCCAACTGGCAGTTCTCTGATGAAGGACAGTTGTGTGCTCAGGAAACCCGGGGAATTTGGGACTTTACAGAGATGAATAATGTAATGAATATTGCATTAAAACAATTTTTATTTCTAAGACAAAGAAAGTTTCCTCTAAGTGAGTATAGGATGAACATCACAAAATGAACGAAATTATATAGAACGATATTCTCTTCAGCTACACAACAGTCATCACTTCTATGTAAATATAGATGTGCAGTAAACAAATAGAAGTTTAAAAAATAGCTTAAATTTGCCTTATTATTCACCAAAATATTGTATGCTTATAATTTTTGTTGGCATCAGCCAACCAGGATATGATTAATTGCCGTAATTATCATTACTGTACAATGTTTAGCTACTCTGAAGCTCAAACTGTTTCCTGGTATATGGTTTAATAAAAAAGTTTACTTCTTAGTCGTTTTATGGTGTTGATTAAATAAAATATAAACGATTTTATGATCATAGCCTCCATAAACACTTCTAATGAGTATGTGTCTAGTGGCAGAATTGAAGACAAATGAACGACCAATGAGAATCCTTGGTTTTCAGAATGGAAATAGATCTAGATATGTTAACTTCCTTGGATGTTTACAAGTAGAACGGGTTTCACGGAGATGAAAAATCACCATCATAATCATGTTTACAAGTAGAAATAGTGCTACCTGTACATCGCCTTACACACCTAACACTTTCTTAAGACATTATATAATGATTTTTCACAAAAAAAAAAAATCATTTTTAATGTCAGGTGTTAAGTGAACATTGTATTTTAGCACTATTTTCAAGGTCTGCAATACTTAAATCAATATGAAACTTATCACATCTTGTTTGAAAAATATGCATTGAAACTACGGTGAAGTCTTTTATATATCTATGTATATACACTGTATTACATGAACACTTTGTTAAGAAAACATCCATTTTTCTTAATTGGTGAGTGGACAGACGTACAGCAACACAAAACTGAGATCATCGTCATATCCATTTTGGTGAAGCTGCAGGAGATCAAGGTATATCTGTTTATCATTATATAGGATTACCCCAACATAACAAGTAATTGTTTATCACAAAAAATGAGGATGTTTCCATTTTTTATCATTGTGTGACTTTTAAACTGAGTGAAAAAGTTGAACCCTTAAGAATGAAGTCATTATTTATTATGTCAAAATCATCATTATGTACATGCTTCTGCACTTAATGTAAAATTGTAAACGTTATTTTCTAGTTCTTCAGAGCATAAAATTACACTTTATGTACTGTATGACTGAGAGATCACATTTAGGTATGAAAAATAGATACTTGCGTGGTTTTTTTTTTACCAGCGATCCATATATAATATCACCACAGCAGAGAAAAATATTACCAACTATGGCATTCATTAGGCCTAAATCAAAGCTAAAGAAGGCCCTAAAATTACTTTTTGACTCAATGGTTTGAAGGGATATATCTACCTTATTAATGTTTGGACCCTTCATATTTGTGATTTGACTTTAGCAATTTTCAAAATTTATTTCCTGGGGATAAAAACAAACATCATTGAAGTTGAAACGATGACATCATTTTCATGAATAGCTTTTTAAAAAAATGTTGTCATTGTTTTATACAAAGATTTATGTTTAAAGTATGAATATGCGTACCACGTGCAACAAAATCTATGTTTCAATCCTTGATATAAACAAAATGACAAAAGGAAAGACATATAAGGAAGTATTTCTGTAGGTTCAGCCAGGACAAGGATGTACATCACCTTACTATAACTAGACTGGAAGAGAAACTGTACGATATGGATTTATAGGACAATCAGACGTGTTATCAATTAAACAATGTCAATAGATAAGAAGAAGACTTACACAATGTCCAGGTTGGTCTGGAAATATCGGACAGTCAGAGTCCGAAGTGGAATTCATCCTTCTAACGTCACTCCTCCAATGTTGACAAACATACGAACTAAACCAATTTTACCTCCGCCGATGGAGAGCGTCTCACTCAAACCCTGACTAATTCTGTCGTAAATGAAATATCGTCGAAGTGAGTATGTGTTTGTGTGTTTTCCTCTCTATTCTGCGTTTAGGCTATGAAAAAAACATCCGGAACAAGGATGATGAATTTATATTCTCATTAGGCTATCTCAACAGTAGATTGTCGTATTTACAGTTAAATTAGCTTGTCCACACCTTTAAGTATTTTGAAAGCTATTACTACACCGTATTTCGAAATGTATCGGGTCTCGGACGTATAGAATATTGTTGTGAAATTGGTACCGATATGCATAATGTTTATTTCAGTGTATACTGTCAGTCAAGAAATGTAGGATTCATCTCCATCTGTTCATCGTTTTATATGTTCTATTTATCTCCAAATGATTTAATAATACCCAATGGACATTTATGCCAAACTCTCTTATTTCATTCCTTGGAATTCATTAAATCTTGTTCTTTAATCAGGTACGACTTTTATAAAGCTTACTACTGGTATTTGATCGTTCATAGTTAAATTTGTTTATGTGCTAAACAATTTGCTAGCATTTCCGATATAAAATTCTGTACATACCGACTGATTCCATTAAAATATATGGAAACAAATTGAAAGTCATAAGGGTTATGTTTCATTAAACTGTTTATGAATTCGGAGCCTATGAATTCTTTGGGAAACATTAGATAAAACAACACATTTAATACTGTCAGATCTGATCATCGTACTCAACATTACACTAAATGAATAAATAATGACGTCACAGAGAAGAGACTACTATAGATGGATAATCGTTTTCTGTTCTTGTTGTTTTCCAATAACGTCATAAAAAATTAACAACAATAATGTTTTTTATTTATCCAAGGTAACATTTAGGTATGTCTAATTTACTCTGTGACCTTTCATCAACATATACAGTTCATATAAACAGATATCACAAACAATTATGAATTTGTGGTTAGGTTACAATATTAAAAGAAACACACCTACAATCTACATATAAAATATGCAGATCACATAAAAGTCAGTGTCACTTTAGAAAAAAATCCTGAAGGCATTTCTTTTGAAAGCAGCAACATGTCGCAATACAACACATGGTATTTAATTGTCCACTATCCAGTTTATTTGTACTTTGCATTGTTACATATAGTCTGTCCTCTATGCTCTTAACTGACACTTCAACTTCCTGTCCACTTTTTTTCTTACTCTCCCTTGTCCGTTGCCTTTTGTCACTCTCCCTACCTCTTGAACTACATTGTATATATACATAAAACTACTACGCTGTATATGTAACGCCCCTGTGTGTATATCATTAAAAAGACATGTGCATCATTGTGCGGATAGCCTTCAATGATATAACTTGCAGTTAGTATTCATTACTCATCCAGGCGCGTTGGAGAGAGAGAAAGAGAGAGAGAGAGAGGGAGGAAGGAGCATTCTAATCATTTAATCAATCACACCAGCTGCATCTAGCCTGTGTTTCAACAATGGGGTACACAGTACACGCCCCTCCCGATATCAGGCTTGCAAAACGAACTGTCTCTCACGGGGTTGTTTACCTTGGTCCAGCATTACCTGACTTTTGACCTAAACTCTGCTCTCAATGATACCCACCAATTTATCGTTATTTACTTCATTAATTTTGTTACTTACCTTCCCCACAAAGAATATTAACTAACATCCCAAAACAAAATAAAACAAAATCTTACATGATAATTAATAACCGTTAATCCATACCACAACTTGCTTTTCTGAGAGAAGACTTTTATAAAAGTTTAACTAAGTTCATTAAGCTTCAGTGTCTTATTCTAAAACAATACGCCTGCAAGTTCAACAAAAAAGTTCACGACACAGAATTATGTACAGTTCCAATAGTGCTAGTCGTTACTCCATAAGATAATGACAATAATTATTTCTACAGTTCACAACAGCAAATATTCCAAGTTCATGATAATGGCTAATCAAATTGATATTGGTAATTATAATCACAATTCAAAATAAGAAGAGAACAATTACTTCCCCTTTAAGCATGCTTGGTGTGATTATGTGTAATCTTGAGAAAAAAGAGTGCATCATTTGTTTTCCTGTATCACCACTTCTTGGCTTATTGATACAGGAAATTTCCTACATTGAGTTTCACCACTTCTTGTCTTCTAGATGTAGACCTAATCACCATGACATCAAGTGTTTTCCTGAACGACAATGACATATTATTGTATTTGGTGAAGTTACAGCTCTTTGTTTTTATAGCATTAATCTTGCACAAATATCTCCTCTGAATTTTGAATCAAATTCTTTCACATTTTGTACACTTAATTACCCAGGACCTGAAGTTGTGTTTTCCTATTTAGCAGAAATTGAATGAATATATATACATATATTTTCTGAATTTTAATTTTGTATGAAGATCTCCTTTCTCAGTTTTTCGTCAACTGCTCTGGGAATCCGTATTCTTTATACCCTTTACATGAAATGCCAGTTTTTTGCTAGCATAGCGATTTTACAATTTTGGAGATACAGCCCTTTGATATTTAAATTTTTTTTTAATCTTTTCAAGATATCTCCTCCCTCCGTTTTCAAATAAATTTTTTTAAAACTTTGTACATCACAGGCTTTAATTTTTCTATCGATCTCTTTATACTTCTCCACACCACTCTGGTAGGGATTTGGGATATACTAGCATCACCTGTCCGGTCGTCCTTAGATGAACTTTGTTTGGGTATATGTTCTGTTTAATGAATTTATTTTTGAAATTCTGTGGAATTGGTTAGTACAATACAGTTTTGTCTCACTATGCATTTTGGTTCATTCATAAATAAGGCGTCCAAACACCTGATAATGGGGAAAGAATTTCTTTCTTGGTATAAGTGTAATAGGAAGAAGTAATGAAAAATACCCTTCCACCACTGGGGTTCCAACTAGCGACCCTTCCGGTCTCTAGCCGTACACTGTATCACTTGAATAGAGGAAAATTCCCTCAAACCGAGGCTAGAAAGACGACATGTACGCTCAACTTCTACAAAGAAACAATGAAAAATTTCACCTTTCTAGATATTTTCTAGGAAAAAACAAACAAACAAACAACACATTGACAATTTTTTGATATATTTCAAATTTGACAAAATAAGACCTGGGAACTTAAGCATGTCAATGAAATCTTTATTCCCAGTGTTATAACTAGATATTTAATGGACAATCTCCCATATCACTGAAATACAAAATATGATTCACTGTTTTCTAAATAATTCACTCTAACCCCTTTCCTCCACCCTTAAACACACAGATTAGGGGAAAGGGGAGCTCATCCTGTTACAGTCACATTCCTACTCATCAACTATGTGGGACTCCAGGGTAATACAACTGGTCCTGGGCACATCCCAGCCACATCTTCACATTTATATAATAAAGTCTGACCTTTCTTTTCTCATTACTAAATTCCAGTTAATGCATTTTCCAGATTTGGTCCCAGATTACGTCAGACAATCAGTTTCAAACTAAGACTATTTATAAGCTATAAGTGGAACAATTCAGCTGAATATTTCTTTTTTGCAAAAACTGATTTTTACGATACAAAATAAATAAATAGGAAATTCAAATGTTATTGTAACTAATTGTTCTACAAAATATCTATTTCAGTCTATATAAAACAATACAGCAAAATTATAAGAACTTAATAAATAAATTCAGCAAGCTTGTATTTCCAATAATATCTGCATTCATTTCTATAACAGATGTAGAAAGTCATATATAAGGTGTCCGTCAGGTTCACAATAAAAATGTTTCACATTTTCATTCAATATAATTCAATGTACAAATTTTCAAATGTCAATAGGTTTTCATGACATAATTATGTTAAAATACATTGCATTTGTATTAATCACGATGTAACTAAAATTTCTGACAATGACATTATATATTATCATTTTCTTACACATCCCCCTCCCACAACAGAGTTAGGGGTATTTGTTTATTAATCTGTTCCAAAAAATTTTGCCCTTAAAACTCCTGAACCTGTGAGCTGATTTCAGTGAAACTATACAGAAATATTGTGGGCTAGATGTAGATGTGAAAAAAAAAAAAAAAAAAAAATATGGTTGCATTGATAACTTGATCACTATAAATATATGTTTGCATAATATCCTATAACTTTTACACACCATATATGGTATGGCAATTGACATGACAAGGGAATGGCAAATGACTAGAAAAAATCAAGGTCAAGGTCACTGGGATTAAAACTAAAACAACCGATGTGTAAAAATTCTTTAAATCTGCATATGCAGGTTGGGGGAGGGGAGGGGAGGGGGGAGGGGTTTGGGAGCATTAGTTATCCTCAGGGTGACAGCTCGAGTTTAAAATGTTGAAATGAAATACATACAATCATATTTAAACAGTATGTACATATCAGTCAGGAATGTGCATAAATAAAGAGGAACTATACATCTATCATGATACACAGGAGGGCTGGCAGCTGGTGTTTCACCTCTAAAAAAGGTCATTTTTACTTTTGTGACAGCACAAAGATGTGTCTACACATCATCCCTGATTCAAAGAAGAAGGATGGACTTAGTAAAGCCTAATGAACAGCACTCATTGTCATTTCTTCTGACAAACTGTAAAATATCAACAACGGAGGTTGGAGACGCAATGTCCCGCAAACAGTGAAAGCAGGAAATTCCTTCAGGGAACAGCCGTGGATCCAAAAGGATACCGAGTACCCACTATAAATAAGTAGAATAGACGTTGGGAGTAGGCACAACACAAAACAGTTCCGGTCCAATCCACGAATAAATCATGGATTGGACTGAAACTGCTTCGTGTTGTTCTTACTCCCGACGTCTAAACTGTAAAATATGTGTGAGTTTATTACCAGACATGGAGTAGTTGGTGATTGTTTATATTGGTGAAACACTACCTGAGAGAATACCTGATATGTATCAAGATAAGATACAATATTAATGGCCAGTGAAAAGCACCATTGGAAAGTCCCATTAATATCACTTTTAAAAAATGACACGTACAAATCACCCATTTCCAGAAGTCTTTCTTTAAACCATATGATAATGTAAAAGAAAAGTTGTAACACAGTATATTTAATTAGGTTCAATATCAAATAAAATGCCAAGAGTTGCTTCAGTTTCTTATTTACCAACATTGTTGTCTAAACTGGTGGTTGAAATTTTACTTCCTGTAATCTGGACAATATATGAAATTTAAAAACGAAGTCGAATTCCTGTTTTGTATATACATGACATTTAAAAATGAAAAGTTTAATCCTGTCTCGAATAAAAAAAATAGGAAATTATAATTCTGTCTCGAATATACATGACATTTAAAAATGGAAAGTTGTAATCCTGTCTCGAATATACATGATATTTAAAAAGGGAAAGTTGTAATCTCATAAAAATGATACAAGTATTTACATATTAAAATAGGGCTATATGGATATAAACCAAAGACTATACAATGATCAACAGCATGTGAAATATGTTTTATGAAAGTCGTACATTTAATTCTCTTGCTGATTTTTCAAATACTTAATGTAAAACCATGCAATAAGACAACCTACGGTTCAAGTTCCTGTTCTACAAAAACTTTATCTAAAATGATGGCAATCAATACAGCAATGATCAAAAATGATAAAGTATTGTGATAAAACCCGCCAGGGTCATACTTACTAATTTGCTATTTTTACTGTTGAAAAAGAAAATTCATGCTATTTTACTTATGCCAGAGATTTACGAACCATATATAGATATCCTAGTACGTATTTGTACTATTTAAACGAACAAGAACGATGCAAGCAAAACAAACTGCCAGAACAAATTTGAAAACTGAGATTAAAAATTGTGAATGACAAGTATTTGATCAGGTACAAGTACATACTGATATATTTCATCAGTTTTTGTTTTACACAAAAGTAAATAGATATAAAATGAGCCATTATTTATTGTTTTTTTTTCCAATCTACAAGCATTTTGCAATAAATAAAAAACAAAATATATATCTGTTGGAGTAAATACAAGATAAGTATTAAAGATAGGCAGGTCATTGCTATCAACAATTGTACAAAGTCAAAATGACCAATTCAGAGCATGACAAGAGTTCAAGACTGAAATATTTTAATGCCACTTTATCAAAATAATTTTTTTAAATAAACCAGAATGAGGAATCGGAATAAAACATGACACTGAAGCTGAGTAAAACATTGAAGTGAAGCAGAATTATATCACAATGGTATAATATAACACAAATCGTAAAATATTTCAAGCAATGAAATATGTGTATATATGTGAATATTTGTGTTCCAAACAACCATATCTCATTCATATATTAATAATGAATAGGACACATCAACAGTCAGGATTTACAACACTTAATTCTTTTTCACTGAGTTTTTAATGTTTGTTGATTTATACATAAATGTAAAATGTTCAAATTGTCCTACAACACAAATCACAAAGTGACTCCTTAAGAAATATATAAACTTGTGCATGAAAATTCAAAATAAAGAAATATTCATTCATAAAATTTGCAAAATGTCAAGATTTTGAAATAAGATACTAAAAGCCTAAAATGTATATACCTCGTAATGTATAATGCACCTTATGAAAAATGGAAAGGTCATGCTGTTTCAATTAAAAAAAAATGAAAAAAACTAAAACTATTTATTTTTCAAAAATGATACCATGAAAACAGAATGTATAAATGGCTTTAAGAACACATTACTATAGTTTGAAATTTGAAATTAATAATATAAAATCAACTGGCCAGTTTCTATAAAATCATGCCTTCATAACCTATTACAATCTGATGATATGTAAAATGGTCCAAAGAAATGTTTTGGCAAAATATTTATATATCTACCAGCATACTGTCGTGAAGCCTGTGACAGAAGAGTATAATATAAGTAAGAAAATGTCTTCCTTGCACATTCCTGTCAAACACTTTGGTGTTTGGAATATTTGTACATCACTTGAAGGAAAACACTCTGATTACAGAAGTTTGACTGGAAGGTAGCCCCTCTGTGTGATGTGTTGCCAATGATAAACATCATTATTACATCACAAATGTGTTCATAATCACATTCAGAACATCAAAAATGATGAGTACAAGAGTCCTTTTTTTGGCACTGTGAATTTTGTCCAAATATTCAGGTGGAAGTCTAATTGATCACGTTTTTCCTGCAAACCAACGAAGAAAGCATATACAGCAAAATATTGAAATTATTTCAGTACAATTTTTTTTCATTAATCAGATCACTTTCATTCTGAATGTTAAATAATGTTTTAAGCACAATAATTTGAATTCAACATTATGAAGAAAAAAAAGACGATCGCAATAGGTCATCAGACCTTTCGGGTCAGATGACCTAATAACAATAGGTCCACGAGCGTTGTACAGTACATGAATTACTCACTAAATCCTATCATAAAACACAAAGTTACACACACAAACATTCAAGTTATACAGAAACTTCCAAGAGAATCGCTGCCTTAAACACTCCTGTTATTGGTGTTTCAGGTATTTCTGCATTGCCTGAGACTTTTGACATGAGAAAACCATATAACTACATATATGAAATAATGCTTAATTGGTTCCAGACTTACTTCTCCTCTTCTTTTTCTTTTTCTATTTTTCTTTGCTTTGCAGACATGTTGAGTTTTCCACCTGTAAAATAAACCATCTTGCACTATTTTTTCAGAACAATGCACTAGTATTTTTTTGCCTGTTTTTTCAATGATTTTCCAAATTTAACCGAGAAGGTGATGGAAATAAATGAATTCATGAAGGAGGCTGAGGAGTTATATATTATTTATCATAAAATATTCACACCTTTTCCTTGGATCCAATGCTTGAACATGTAAACAGTTATGTGGTGTCACATTTTAAGGTAGGATGAAGTCTGAAGTTAACGTTGGGCAGTTGATGTATAAAGAGACTTTTTGGGAGATTTCAAAATTTTCCTCATTTTTCGAAGTGAACAGAGAAAACTAGACCCTTAGGTTATGATTCTTAATTACGAAATTCTCAGCAGTTTCATGTTAACAAATTTTACAGCATTCTATAGGCTTATTCACCAATATTTTTAAGGATTATGCAATAGGCTAGGCTTAAATAAGCCTTCTCCCTATAAGTAAATATATCTCCAACCACAGCTGATATTAATATTTATTATCTCTGGTTCAAACACTACACATCAGACTTCTAATCTGATCCAATTTTTATACCTTTAGATGCGTCCGAAAGATACAATAAAACTGCAGCAACAAGGGCGACTGGAAAAAAGAAAGAAAAAAAATTCATTTTATATAAAGATGTACATATAAAGTATGTTAAGTATTTCTTCAACAAACAAATTTAGACCTGAAGTCTAATGGTGGCCTTATTGTATGATAATGACAAGAGGCCTAAAGGATCTGTTCGCTCACCTGGCCATTTTGATTCCTCTTCACCCAACAATGCTTTAGACCGAATTTGGTCATAATCAAAACATTCCTACAGAAGGAGTAGGATTTTAAAGAATTTGCTCTATTTCCCCTATTTAGCACCAAACCCCTCCCACCCAAGGGAGCTGAGACCTACCATTTATACAAAATTGATTCCCCTTCATCCAACAAAGCTCTATACCAAATTTGGGTAAAATCTGATCATTTCTACAGGAGGAGTAGGATTTCAAAATTTCTCCAATTGGCCCCCTTCCCTCAGACACCTGGGAGCTGAGACCCATCACTTATACAAAATGTGTTCCCCTTCCCCTTGGAATGCTCCTGACCAGATCTGGTCGAAATCCTTGAAGTCATTCATAACTAGTAGGTATTTGTATAAAAAATTTGATGAATGGATGACAGATGTTGTTATATGCCATAAAAAAGCTTGTTATTCTTTTACAAGCAATAGATATAGGTGGGTGTATAATCACGCATTATCTTATTACTGGATGGGCATGGGTTATGGTAAAAAAAAATGCTTAGCAGAGTAATAAGAAGTACTTACTACACAGCCAAACAAGGAAGAAGACCTCCAGTATAAGATAGCCACTAGAATCGACTATAGAGCCTGCAGCGATGGATATTACAGCCAGTCCGAGGTTCTGAATAGCCTGCATACTACAACACAAATACTTATCTATTACATACCTTTAACAAGTGAACTCACAGATTATAATGTCCGATAATACATTAATATCTAACACTGGTATGTACATAATAAACAGAACTTAGTGATGACAGTACCTACACAGTAAACAACAATAAACAGTGATATTACAGTACCTACACAGTAAACAGCACTAAACAGTGATATTACAGTACCTACACAGTAAACAACACTAAACAGTGATATTACAGTACCTACACAGTAAACAACACTAAACAGTGATATTACAGTACCTACACAGTAAACAACAATAAACAGTGATATTACAGTACCTACACAGTAAACAACACTAAACAGTGATGTTACAGTACCTACACAGTAAACAACACTAAACAGTGATATTACAGTACCTACACAGTAAACAACAATAAACAGTGATATACAGTAAACAACACTAAACAGTGATATTACAGTACCTACACAGTAAACAACACTAAACAGTGATATTACAGTACCTACACAGTAAACAACACTAAACAGTGATATACAGTACCTACACAGTAAACAACACTAAACAGTGATATTACAGTACCTACACAGTAAACAACACTAAACAGTGATATACAGTAAACAACACTAAACAGTGATATTACAGTACCTACACAGTTAACAACACTAAACGGTGATATTACAGTACCTACACAGTAAACAACACTAAACAGTGATATTACAGTACCTACACAGTTAACAACACTAAACAGTGATATTACAATACCTACACAGTAAACATCACTAAACAGTGATATTACAGTACCTACACAGTAAACAACACTAAACGGTGATATTACAGTACCCACAAAGTAAATAACACTAAACAGTGATATTACAGTACCTACACAGCAAACAACACTAAACAGTGATATTACAGAACCTACACAGTAAACAACACTAAACAGTAATATTACAGTACCTACACAGTAAACAACACTAAACAGTGATATTACAGAACCTACACAGTAAACAACACTAAACAGTGATATTACAGTACCTACACAGCAAACAACACTAAACAGTGATATTACAGAACCTACACAGTAAACAACACTAAACAGTGATATTACAGTACCTACACAGTAAACAACAATAAACAGTGATATTACAGTACCTACACAGTAAACAACACTAAACAGTGATATACAGTAAACAACACTAAACAGTGATATTACAGTACTTACACAGTAAACAACACTAAACAGTGATATTACAGTACCTACACAGTAAACAACACTAAACAGTGATATTACAGTACCTACACAGTAAACAACACTAAACAGTGATATTACAGTACCTACACAGTAAACAACACTAAACGGTGATATTACAGTACCTACACAGTAAACAACACTAAACAGTGATATTACAGTACCTTAACAGTTAACAACACTAAACGGTGATATTACAGTACCTACACAGTAAACAACACTAAACAGTGATATTACAGTACCTACACAGTAAACAACACTAAACAGTGATATACAGTAAACAACACTAAACAGTGATATTACAGTACCTACACAGTAAACAACACTAAACAGTGATATTACAGTACCTACACAGTAAACAACACTAAACAGTGATATTACAGTACCTACACAGTACCTACACAATAAACAACACTAAACAGTGATATTTTACAGGGATATTACAGTACCTTCATGGTAAAAGACTGTACATTACTTACATTCCGTATGCAGTGCCAAGTTGTGATTCTTGGATGACTTGAGCAACAAGGGGCCAGAGTGCACTGGCTAATATAGAGTAAGCTAAACCCATGCAAATCTGTAATGAAATGTCATACCCATAAGTATTTGTAACAAGTCACAGTAATCCATTATAATCATTTTGGGGATACCGGTATATCTACAAGCTACTGTCAAATCAGATGTTTTTGTGGTGCTCAATTTTCGTGGGTTTTCGTGTTCGAAAAACTATTATTTCATGGACATTTGATTTCGAGGATAAATATTACAGCCCAATAAATGTACTTGTACTAATTTTAACAGTTCATAGACTTATGAATTCTTTGATTAAGAACACCAAGGAAATAAATGGAAATAAAATCCCCATGAAAATTAACGATTACTCAGTAAGTCAGTGATCATGTTCAAAAATCAACATCAAGGCCACAGTGCCCAAATTCCACATGCAATATATGGTCATTGTAAGTTGGATCCATGGTGTGAAATTTGTAGTACGAGGTAGAGTTTTCATTCCCATAATAAATGTAACATGAGTGCTGCGAGACAGATAACATATACACCTATTCCATGCTAAGGAGAAATTGAAGTAAATATGAATCACCAAATAAAACAATACCTGTCTTATCAAAATGTCTTTTTATGTCAAAAAACTTTCCAAAGTAAGTAAAACAAAATTGAAGGAGACAAACTAAAGTCAAGATAAGAAACCTACAAAGAATGTTAACTCTTCCTAAAAATTTGGCAACTCAATATTCAATAGGAAAAATATATGCTATAAGAATTGTTTATAAAGCACGGTTTCAAAAGCCTTTTGAATTGATATACATAAATACATATTTATACACCAGAAGAAATGTTCATAGTTATTTTTAAAGTTAAAGCTATGCTAATTAAATATCTACATCATGATGCATTTCAAACACAATATTAACTTGTAACCACTGCCAGATAGTAAAGAGAATAATCTTACCATGGCAACGAAGGGGTTGAGGAAGGTGAAAGCTAATAGGGCATGACATCCTATTGTTGCTACGGTACCCAAAATTATCCAGAATACATTCTTTCCACTTCTGTCAATCAGGAAACCAAACAAAGGGGAGGCAACTGCTGATATGATGTACACAAGGCTAAACAGAAATAATAGCATATATATATATATATGTTATCTGTAAAACATAAATCTTTAAGTCAATGATCAGATCACAGAAACCATTCACATCAATAAACCAATTTTCAAATATTTTTCTATAGATATATTTGATCATTAAAAAAAATTTTGTTTTGAAAATAATAAAATGTTGCTAAAATTTAGAGATAAAAGAATTCAGCATCTATCTAACAATAAGCCAATGTCTGATATTAAATCCAGCAACACATATAGTTCCAATATTAAACAAATTTCATCTCCCACTTGACCCCCTGACTCGATTAGGTAATAGGCTTGTGTACCCTCAGCTGTATTTTGGAAGTATAAACATTGGCAGTAAAATTAATTGAGGTTTTTGTTCAATTCTGTACCTGTTCACAGTATTTGCAGCACTGGGACTTAGGTTCCATTTCATTTCAAAGAAAACTCTGAAACATCAAGGTGGTCATAATATAATTATGATTAGATATGTCATAGTAAGTTCATTAACAATGATGGTTAAAACTGATCCTTCAATTCTTTTATGAATTCACTGATCAAGGGGAGGGTACTTAGAGACACAGACCAATGGTTACTTAAAGACAATGACTTATGAGGGAGGGTGTACATTTACAGACACATACTGATGAATGAAGTGGTTATTTAAACACAATACTTACAGCCACACAGACACAGACTGATGTAGGAGAGGGTATCTATAGACAGACTGATGTAGGGGTGGGTACTTATAGACACAGACTGATGTAGGGGTGGGTACTTATAGACACAGACTGATGTAGGGGAGACTACTTATAGACACAGACTGATGTAGGGGTGGGTACATATAGACACAGACTGATGTAGGGGAGACTACCTATAGACACAGACTGATGTAGGGGAGGGTACTTAAAGACACAGACTGATGTAGGGGAGGGTACTTATAGACACAGACTGATGTAGGGGAGGGTACTTATAGACACAGACTGATGTAGGGGAGGGTACTTATAGACAGACTGATGTAGGGGTGGGTACTTATAGACACAGACTGATGTAGGGGTGGGTACTTATAGACAGAGTGATGTAGGGGTGGGTACTTATAGACACAGACTGACGTAGGGGTGGGTACTTATAGATACAGACTAATGTAGGGGTGTGTACTTATAGACACAGACTGATGTAGGGGTGGGTATACTTACAGACCAAGGCCAATGAAGGGGAATACAGCAACATAATAGGCAACACAGATCACACACATTAACCAGAAGGCAAGTGGAAAATCTTTAACATCTGTAATCCTGATCACCTCATCTGAAACAGAAAAAGACTCTTTGTCTGAAACATGTCATCTCACCCTGAAAATTCTGCACCATTTTTATCTAAGAAAATGCAAGCAAACTAAAAAATGATAAATATACCTGAAAGTGTTAAACTAGGCTTGTATAAATATTCACATAAATATGCCTAAACAGATTTGTACCTTGATTGTGATGAGCTAAATGCTGGGTCCAACCACACGAATGAATCTTAATGCTAAGCTTATCATGTAACAGAAGTTCGTCATTGTGAAAAATGAAACAAATGTCACCAGTGACCGATATTGATACAATCTGTGGTAAATATTCCTTAAGATGTGCCTACATGGGATGTTTAGTGGTTATACAAAACAAACAACTGAACCAAAGTTAATAAAGCAGTTGATAAGCCAAGGCATGATATCTATCTGAAAAAAAAAATTAGAAAATAAAGAAAAAAGAAAAAAAAAATACTGCATGAAGCAACTCTGCATTTTATCATACAATCACCTACCATTTTTAAGAACCTGTTAAAAACATTTTTTTTCTCTCATTTTGACGGTTGCACAGTACCTAGAGAACAATAGGAGCCCAGTTAACAAGAGCTTCACCTGGTGTCCTCAATACAATCAAAACATGATTTATGTACGAGAAGATAACACAGATATTGTCATCTTACACTTTACAGGTCACACTATTGTTGTTTTACTTAAAAATACAATCAATGTACAATTTAAATCATATCATTCATGATATAATTATAGCATTGTTCTTGTTTGATTTTCAATACCTGACGCAGTGGCTTTCCTGTGAAGGATTCTGTCGGTTCTCTTGTCGAAGAAGCCAAGAGCGAAGGCACAGAGGAGTGACAGGATACAGATAATACCGCCGATAAATAACGTGATGCCAAGACACTTATATCCTGTCATTCCATGGTCTGCGATCAGCTGGTACAGGGGCTGCATGACATTCATGTTCACGGTACTGCCCTACAAGTCACAAAAACACATATTCAGGATATGTATTTATTGCATAATCTGCCTGTTATCTAGTGAATTTACCAACCTAGCTTAGATCTGATATGTATTCAATAGTCTGTATCACATGCAAATGAAGAAACAAATCTTTCACAAATAGTGAAATTAGAAGAATGCTTATTTTTACCAATAGTTAAACCAGGAAAATTATTATTTTTACAAATAGTTAGACCACAAGAATGTTTATTTTTATCAATAGTCAAACTAGGAAAATGCTTATTTTTACCAAAATCAGACCAGGAGAATGCTTATTTTTACCAATAGTCAGACTATCAGAATGCTTATTTTCACCAATAGTCAGACTATCAGAATGCTTATTTTCATCAATAGTCAGACTATCAGAATGCTTATTTTTACCAATAGTCAGACTATCAGAATGCTTTTTTTCACCAATAGTCAGACTATCAGAATGCTTATTTTCACCAATAGTCAGACTATCAGAATGCTTTTTTTCACCAATAGTCAGACTATCAGAATGCTTATTTTTACCAATAGTCAGACTATCAGAATGCTTATTTTCACCAATAGTCAGACTATCAGAATGCTTTTTTTTCCCAATAGTCAGACTATCAGAATGCTTTTTTTTACCAATAGTCAGACTATCAGAATGCTTATTTTCACCAATAGTCAGACTATCAGAATGCTTTTTTTCACCAATAGTCAGACTATCAGAATGCTTTTTTTCACCAATAGTCAGACTATCAGAATGCTTATTTTCACCAATAGTCAGACTATCAGAATGCTTTTTTTCACCAATAGTCAGACTATCAGAATGCTTTTTTCACCAATAGTCAGACTATCAGAATGCTTATTTTCACCAATAGTCAGACTATCAGAATGCTTTTTTTCACCAATAGTCAGACTATCAGAATGCTTTTTTTTACCAATAGTCAAGACTATCAGAATGCTTGTTTTTACCAATAGTCAAGACTATCAGAATGCTTGTTTTTACCAATAGTCAGACTATCAGAATGCTTATTTTTACCAATAGTCAAGACTATCAGAATGCTTGTTTTTACCAATAGTCAAGACTATCAGAATGCTTATTTTTACCAATAGTCAGACTATCAGAATGCTTATTTTCACCAATAGTCAAGACTATCAGAATGCTTTTTTTTACCCACAGTTAGACCAGGAGAATACTTATGAACAGCAAAGTTATATCAGCATGTTTATTTACATGAGATTTCTTGGGACCAAATGAAAACCCATGTCTGAAATTTGTAAAAGACTGTTCCTTTCCTTCTTAAGAAAAATGATGGCATGAAAAATTTTAAAGGATGGTTAATTGACAGGCAATGCAGAACAGTGAAGTCAAATATTAACAACCTATTATCATTATCAGTTCGTTTCATGTGGTTCCTGTTCAGTTTTAAAATGAATGAAAAAACTCAGTTAATCAAAAATTGCCTTTATAGACAATGAAATAATTAATATACAAGAAGTTGAATAACAATACATCTGGTTTCATGGACCACATGAAACATGAATACAAAAACAGGACATTCACACTTCAGTATCTACTTTAATGATGTATTGAGGTCAGACAGATTGGTAACTAGGACATTCAGTATATCACTTCTTACCACACGAGAAAAGCTGAGCTGAAGACCAAACACCATGTTGAGTTCCCTCCCTTGAAACCATTTGACGGCGTAGGTGTTCTGTGCTACAGCCAAGGATTCTCCACCTATCCTGGAGAGAGAAACACAATAATCAAAGAATAATTTTATATCTACAGATACACTGCCTATATCCTGGAGAAGGAAACATGAAACAAGCAATTTCCACAACCATGTTCCCCGTAGTCAATCAACTGAAATGCGAGCTTTCCATACTAAATACACTGATTGTACTAAATATGCACACTTGCCACACTGATTTTACTAAATACACTTGATACGATGATTTTACCGAACACACTTAAATACACCAATACATGTATTACTAAAATACACTGATTTTACTAAATACAGTAATTTCACTAAATACACTAGATACAATGATTTTACCGAACACACTTAAATACACCAATACATGTATTACTAATATACACTGATTTTACTAAATACAGTGATTTCACTAAATACACTTGATACAATGGTTTTACTGAATACACTAATTTTACTAAAATGCACTGACTTCACCAAATGAACTGATTTTGAAGGGTTATGAATGTGACCAGGCCTCACTTGTATAAAACATCTCAACTTGAGATTTCCTCAAGTCGAGATTTTCCTCAGCTGATATCTCCTCAAAAACGGCTTGTATAAAATTTTCTCAAGGAACAGGAGGAAGTCATCGGCTAGGATGTCCTGAAATTCCTTGAGGAATTTTCATACAAGATATTTTCAAGGAGATATTAGCTGAGGAAAATCTCGACATGAGGAAATCTCAAGTTAAGATGTTTTATACAAGTGGGGCCTGATATCTTTGTGATACCTGATATTTTTGTGTTCTTGACTGAATTAATGCTACCTTGCCTTGAAGTAGAGGTACACATACATACATCGTATTAATATATCAAGGTCAATTCCATAAGATGTATGTTCTAAGCTTGTTTTCTTTCCTTTACCTGATACAAACACTTACCCAAATATAAATCTTGCTAAATCCATCAACCAGACCTTATTGACAAATGCACCTAGGGCAAACAAAACCTGAAAGAAAACATTAAAACTTTGCTAGTCTATCAACAACATTACAGAATTTACATTTCTTGGTGTCATAAGTTTAACTCCTATCACAATGACAAGGGATCCACCACTTCTCCCTGCCTTACACTCCTGTCACTTGATTAAAAAGGATCAAGCACTGTCCCCTGCCTTACACTCCTGTCACTTGATTAAAAAGGATCAAGCACTGTCCCCTGCCTTACACTCCTGTCACTTGATTAAAAGGATCAAGCACTGCCCCCTACATCACACATCTGTCACTTGATTAAAAGGATCAGGCACTGCCCCCTACATCACACTTCTGTCACTTGATTAAAATTATCAAGCACTGCCCCCTGCCTTACACTCCTGTCACTTGATTAAAGGGATCAAGCACTGCCCCCTGCCTTACACTCCTGTCACTTGATTAAAAGGATCAAGCACTGCCCCCTGCCTTACACTCCAGTCACTTGATTAAAAGGATCAAGCACTGCCCCCTGCCTTACACTCCTGTCACTTGATTAAAAGGATCAAGCACTGTCCCCTGCCTTACACTCCTGTCACTTGATTAAAAGGATCAAGTACTGCCCCCTGCCTTACACTCCTGTCACTTGATTAAAAGGTTCAAGCACTGCCCCCTGCCTTACACTCCTGTCACTTGATTAAAAGGATCAAGCACTGCCCCCTGCCTTACACTCCTGTCACTTGATTAAAAGGATCAAGCACTGCCCCCTGCCTTACACTCCTGTCACTTGATTAAAAGGATCAAGCACTGCCCCCTGCCTTACACTCCTGTCACTTGATTAAAAGGATCAAGCACTGTCCCCTGCCTTACACTCCTGTCACTTGATTAAAAGGATCAAGCACTGCCCCCTACATCACACTCCAGTCACTTGATTAAAATGATCAAGCACTGCTTCTTGCCTTACACTCCTGTCACTTGATTAAAAGGATCAAGCACTTCTCCCTGCCTTACACTCCTGTCACTTGATTAAAAGGATCAAGCACTGCCCCCTACATCACACTCCTGTCACTTGATTAAAAGGATCAAGCACTGCCCCCTGCCTTACACTCATGTCACTTGATTAAAAGGATCAGGCACTGCCCCCTGCCTTACACTCCTGTCACTTGATTAATAGGATCAAGCACTGCTCCCTGCCTTACACTCCTGTCACTTGATTAAAAGGATCAAGCACTGCCCCTTGCCTTACACTCTTGTCATGTGATTAAAAGGATCAAGCACTGCCCCCTGCCTTACACTCCTGTCACTTGATTAAAAGGATCAAGCACTGTCCCCTGCCTTACACTCATGTCACTTGATTCATATGTTGAATTTTACTTCAAGTTTATATCTCACATTTTATCATATAACATCACAGACAATACATGGTTATCCTACAATAAGCCCAGGGAGCCAATAGATTTCTCTCTGATTGGAAAGTCACAGGGTTCATAGGGTAGGCTTATTATATAGGATATAGATCAGTATTTGGCTATACAAATTATGTAATTCTACTAGACAATAGTGAATTTAGGCGGGCATATTGGTAAATATATATATTTTGTACAAAGGACATAATTAGGTATTTTTTCACACAAAATCACCAACTTTGGCATTTTTAGCTAAAGATGGTATTTTTGCTTTGCTGACTGAAGCAAAATTTCTGTAAATTTCAACATGATAACAGACCATTGGCGAGTTATTCAACAAGAGCTTGATCACCAACAACCACCATTAACATGATAGTGCAATCATTACAGTGGTATATTTCCTACCAAAAATTATCAATTAAAGACTTATGAAACCTTACGTTACTAAAACCAGCAATCAAATCATAATTGTCTCCAAAAGTATCATTTTGTGTTTTCAAATACTAGTGATATAAATTAAAATGCAATCTTTTTAAATATGCGATTTTTCATATGACATTAATACAAACTCTTAAGAAATGGAGATCAAGTTTGAATGTATCTGACCAGTAGACTGTTCACTGTACTGACCTGTCCTCCAGTGACAAACAAACTGAAAATGATGGCTCCAAGTCGTACACCGAACACCTTATCAATGAGGAAACCGCCAAAGAAACACAGGATAACATTAGGCCAGGAATACCAAGAGTAAAACCCCATAAAGGAGCTCTCGGACAGGTTAAGGTCCTTTATCATGGTGTCTTGAAGGGCAGCTGGGTTGTCATAACAGAAGTAGCTTCCTGAAACATTGGATATAAATATTAGTTGGAACATATGATAGATACATCCTTTGTATATAACATTATTCTCTGGTCATGTTTTAGACAACTTATATATCAATCATTTAAATATTAGCAACAATATCTAGGTACAAGTTGCAGTGGTGATGCCAAAAAATTGGCCAATATCCAGACATTGTGACCGAGAAATATACACCCATCAATTGATGAATCAGCGATTTATGTCTGGAGCAAATATCACAAAGTGTGTGATAAAAGTAACTGACCCAATTACTTAAATTTGTCTAAATAAATAACTTTATTTTAGCTTATATTTACAGCCTTTAAAGTAGATTTCTAAGCTACATTACAATTCTGATATTTATCACTTGTACATCATGATAACTCTACCTCCTGGTTTTATTTGTACAGTTTCACAACCCTTCCTCTTATTAATACCGAACTATCCTGACAATAAGGCTATTGATCACTCAAGATACATTTAAAAATGATTGAAATAAATTATATGACCTTTTAAAACATGTGTTTGTGTACAGTGTTTTACACAATCTCTATAAAGCCAAGCCCATGCAAATGCTTTTTACCCAAAAATGTATCCTTCTCTCAGGTAAACAAAATCAATTATGATCAATAATTGTTCTGGTTTAGAGAAAATCATTTTTCAACCAAATAAAAAAAATCCCTGATACAATGATGGATGCCTGTATATAACACATTACACCATGGCTAGCACTAATCAAAGGAAAAAAAGAAACAAAAAAATACACATTGTTCATGATGGTAAGGGATTTACACCTACATTCTGATATTTCACCCATCGACACATTGTCAAGGTCTAAACTCATTGAAACAATTTTCTATAGACTATGAATACATTTATTTCATGCATATTAAGTCTTTACTAGAGCCAGTCAATCCTATATCTCAATCACTCATTCACCCATACAAAAGTTTAGGTATTCGATCACTGATCCAGAAAAACAATCTACAATCTGTCTGATGACATTAGTCATACAGCCTGTCAGCTGATGTCAAAGACAAATATTACAGGATATTTACTTCACACTTATCTAAGACTACCAATTTCCAGAAGTAAAATTTAAGAAAATTTGGATTATGTTCATTAAATGTCCTGTTTACTTCATTTATTGTTTTTGTTTTGTTGTTGTTGACATTACTTGTCTTAACTTCAGAAACATAATTAAACATCAGTAAAATGGGGGTTAACATTCATGCAGAATCAGAATTCTCAAAAATATGTTAAACTAACATTCTATTGAAGTTTCATGTCTATAAAACATTTAGGAAGTTTTGAATCTCAAATCTAAATCTCTACAACGTTTTATTATAGGTACACTTTCCATATCAATGCACTGTAGTGTACTAGATTAACAATTACCTGAAAGAAGCTTTAAATATCAGCAGTCTTATTACCAAATAAATCTGAGTGATCGATGTATAAAAACGTATTAAGCTGTTTTACCAGACACAAGATCACTAAAATGAAAAACTATCAATTATCAACAAATATAGCTATATAATTGGTGAATTGTCATTAAATGAAAATGATATATATGACTTTTTCCCCCGGTTGTACATTGTCTTCAAATACTTTTAACACAAATTTGTAATGAAAATTTCACTATAAATACAGAGTGAAGTTGACTAGGCTTTGTTTGACTATGTCTGGGAGTGTGTTATAGTACAATTAAGATCTGATAAATAATGAGTTCATGAACATAGTTTATTAAAGAGATTGTATGTTCAACGTATAGTCACAGACGGACAGTTCTTTAATTCAAAAGCACATGCTTTCAACACATGTGTTTTGTCACGTCATACGAGTGCAAATGTGTAACATTGTCTATTCTTCATTCAGGCTGTTGGAATGATAGCAATGAATTACATATTATTGAAGGACAACATGGCTGAAGAACAAGACATATGTAAACACTGAAGGAGTTTTAACAGAAATGGACAAAAGAGTTTCAATAATTCAAAATGTATGTGGACATTAGAAGGACTGAGGAAGTTACCAGGACAACATCAATAGAAGACAAGTACACAGTACAATTTTTAATTTCCTGTTCTACGATCAACATTATTTAAATACTTACTTAGAATATTGTGAGTGTAGTTTAACAATTCATGTGAATGTAGTTTTAGAGTATACTGAAGTTCGTCAACACTACAGGCATAATACATACAGACTAGGAAGGACCTAGACAGGAGTGTGGTAAACTATGTAAACTACTATTGATCCTGGGTGTGAAGGAGGACTCCCACGTTCAAAGTCTGGTCAACCTCAAATATACAATGTAATATGTTTTACAAATGAATTCTATTGTTTAAATATAAATATGATTTTGTGAGCATTTGATTTACATAATTCTTTTCCATGGTAATGTCTGTAAAATGAATCACATGTATATAATCCAAAGGTGAAAAACTGTGATTCTGTTAAACAGCTGTAAACTACTGGTTTCTCCTGAATGACTACAGTATATCTACACATCTTTGTCCATCAGATGTTTAATAGATCAGATTTTCGTTTTAATTTAATTTTTGATATTTTGTGGTAAGTACAAATTTTGATCAGTTTGAAACAATAATTTATTACAACGTACAATGTCTAAGTGAATTACCTTTATGTCACAGGAACAGGCAAGCTGACATGTTTTTACCACAAATTTGTAGGCAAAGAATTTACATATTTTTCAACCTCAAATTTGTAGAATTTATAAATTAATTGAATTGTATGAAAAAAAGCAGAAAATTTCCAGCTCAAATTATCTTTAAATTACTTAACAACATAGTGCTTTGATCACTAAAAAAGAAGCCCAGACATGTCTGTGCATTTCATTTTTCTTTACCAGCAAGGTAGATAAGTAAGTGTTTGCTAATCATATATCAAAAATCTTTAAATAGAAATACAATTATCTGTTCATGTAAAGATATGTGATTTTTACAGCGTTATAGTATGACAGGCAGATATATATATCATGTATATTTATCATTTCTGGTTATGCATCAGTTCAAAATCACCTGATAATTATTATGTATCATGAAACGTGAAATTGATTAAATCATTAATTAAATTAACTACATCGTTATGTACCTTTGCCAAGTTATATAATATCACATCATTATCAGCCTTATTAATATAAAGGTCACACACCATTCCGGTCGATCACACAATCAAGTGATAAGATCGTTATGTATTTAACATTAGAAGATTTACCAGAGGCAATCCTTCATTATCACACATACTAAAATTTAGGCCATGTATTGGAATTTAATAATTATATTAGTCATACATTTGTGAAGGAACAGGGAAAACACGCATTTCTATCGAGTGCTCCAACTTGGAATCAAACCTGGGCTCCCGGCATGATAATCAACTGGTTCTACAGCCTGCACCAAAGAAGCATGCTCTGGCAGCTGAGTGACAGAGACTGTACTTAGCATGATGTACTAACCACATCTACCCCTCCTCCTATACTACTCCCTCTGGTTTCCTAGAGATTTCCTAAATCTCAATTTGAGACTCCAAATACCATAATCTGTGGGATTTTCGTGATAGAACAGGGAAAATACACATTCTTCTAAGTGCTCTAATCAGGAATCCAACCCAGGTCTCTGGTGTGATAAATGACCAACTCTCTCAACTGAGCCAAAAAAGTATGCTCTACCAGCAAAGTGACGCATATCATATTTCACACAATGTATATACAAGCCATTAAGACCCACTCTTTTACACATTCAGCCTGCCTTTTAATTCAAATAATTATCAAAAATTCTTATCTACAGATAATTCTATAAATATGTTTCTGACAACTAAATTTTTTTTTTTCAGGTAGACTGAAAACGAATGTATAGATCTGGACAAGAAGCAAACTGCTACATCTTATATATATACACACAGTCTTTGCAGCATGTAAAGTACAAAATGGCTGTCTGGGGAAACAGGCACTGTCAAAGACAACTATTTCAAATATTGCTGTATGCTGTCCTTATACTCGGTATTGTTGGACTCTTTTCACAGATCCTGTATTTATCTTCGAAGTTACGGAATTTATCCCATCCTGATGATGACCTTTACATTTCCAACGACACACAACAAAATGAAAACACTAAACCAGTAAAATTTTTATCCTACAGAAAGAATTTCTCATATCCTTTAGACGTGGATATTGCTTATCTTGTGAATGAAAAGATTCAGTATAATAATTCAATTCCACATAAACAGATCAATCCACATCCATTTAAATACATGAATCTTCCTGATGCATGCAACTTCAGCTTGGGTGAAAATGGTTTAACTGAAAACGAAACAATTCTTGTGTTGGTAAAATCTGCGGTAAGACATTACAGACTGCGTGCTGCTTTACGTTCAATATGGAGGTCTTGTAATGATCCAGGCATTAAAAAGGTGTTTTTGTTGGGTTACGATGGGATCAACCAAACCCAGATTAACATGGAGAGTCAAACTTTTGGTGATATAATACAGGAAGACTTTGTGGATGTTTACAGAAACAATACTTTTAAAACAATAATGGGATTTAACTGGGCATTAACATTCTGTACCAAATTAATGTTCCTTTTCTTCATGGATGATGATTACTATTTGAAATTATCAGAACTGGCTCACTATCTCCGAAAAATTCCTGAAGAAAATCGCTACAACATATTTAGGGGGTCACTTTCCAAGACTGGAGTGCCATACAGAGACAGAAATACTCGTTGGTATGTTACTGCTGAGGAGTATGCATTTGATCAGTATCCTCCATACATTGGCGGAGGTGCATATGTTGTTTCTTATGACGTTGCAGAAAGACTCCATCTTGCTTTTCCTTTTATTAAATACTTACCTATTGATGATGTGTATCTAGGTATTGTGGCACACAAGCTCATGATCACTCCTCGCCGCGATATCAAGTTTCAGTCATATTACAGAGGTGCTATTGCCAAAGAGTGTTCCCATGATGCCTCAGAACTTATAAGACAGAATTGTCCCCTTGCTCGGTTTGGATATAACATGTATATACATCAAAACAAAAGAAATGCAAAGAACACCAAAGTCCTTTGGGCACTAATAATAACAATTTGTATTCTTTGTGTTGTCTGCTGTTGTATTGCATTTCCAGTGATACTGCATATATACTGTGACAGACTTTATGAAAAAAACATCATGAGTGAGCAAAACCCTGGTAGGAAGCAGATACGGAAAAAAACATCTTCTAAACTGACAATAGTATATGAACATCAGTGACACATTTGATTCCAATATGCCTGTCATCAGGGTGTGTTATCAGAAGGGTCATGGATTATAATAGTTGAATAACATGACCTAGATCAGCTTGCAATAATGAATCATGACATACTATTTTACTAAAGACACTTTAAGCAGTAATTAGTCTTGCTAAGAAGATCACATTTTAATCAATTTCTTTCAATTGCAAGATAAAATTATTCATGACAGCAAGTTTGGAGCTCTTAGATAAAATACTCCTAACACCTCATCTTTTTAGGGGTCAATGTGACCTGATGGCCTCTCTACATTTGAACCTTTAAACTTTCATAACTGATGACCAGTGTTATCTGAGGATTTCAATACTGGAGTGTAACATCAACCATGATTGACTTCTTTTTTTTTTTTTAAATTGGTATAAATATACCTGTTCCATGATCAATATAAATTCTGGGTATGACAGTCAAAATATAGCTTCTGTAATGTATTTCATTTCCTTTCTTTGTTTTTTTTTTTTTTTTTTTGTTTTCTTTTCTTTTACAGAGAATGAATTAAAATTACCAAAACACTGTTTGATACCATATATACTGTAGGAGCTGTGGCATGAAAACACACAGCTATTAATGACCATACGAAGAGGAAAATGTGTTTAAAACTACTTTTCATAGGAACAATTAAGTTGAAAATTTTATTTGATATCGGCCAATGTATTGAAAACATGTCTTAATAAGATTTTTCATAGTTGAGATAATGTGAATTTTTTGTCAGATTTTTTTGTGAGAAAATTAAAACTTGAACAAAGAAAGACTTATCAACAGCTTCCTGAGCTTACATATATACCTGTGTTTATATACATGTATGTTTAAGGTAGGTATAAATGTTGGTAGACCACTTAGTGACTCTAAGTGGATACATGAGAATCAATAGGAAGTCAATAAAGTGACATCAACACTCCCTTATTTAATGTCTTTTGTTTTTTATTCAGGATTTAATAAGCTTATTCTGAATTCTCCTGAATAATTCAGATAACACCGTCATATAGTTGTCAACCACACAAAAAAAAAAAAAAAACAATAAATCACAGATCTTAGTCAAGAGCCCTTTGGACTATTTACAATTGCTGTAGTCAGGCCATGTTTGTGGTTACACAGAGACTGAAGTACAAGTACAGTCATTCATTTGAAGGTCTTTTATCAATCATACAACTTGTGCACTGTATACGTCAGTTATAATATACACTATACAATATATTTCTATAGGTGAAAATGAAGCCATTGAAGCATCCTACAGAGAGATCTTTTCAGTAATTTTTTATTTGATAACGAACAAGAAATTAAGAAAAAATTTTCTTTATGGTGTAAGCTGCATTTTTTAACAGATATTTTAAAAGGATGCGTGTTATGTTGAAATATATGTAAATGCAATTTTACACTAGTAAACAAAAATAAAAACAAAAATTACTTCTTATATTTACATTATAAAGTAGTTTTCTTCTTTATTTATGCAATTTAAACAATAATTGTAGTTTATAGGTCATTATATGCACCAAAGGAACAGTCCAAAAACTGATGGAATAGCAAAAACCGATGATTCCAATTTCACGTGAAAGTCTGTCAACTACAGGAGGTACACAGGAAACAGTCCCACAATAACATCATCTTTTTCTTCAATTTTTTAAAACATTATTGAATATTTACATTTCTGTTCGCATATTACTTTGAGTTTTCTAGCTTGTACAAAATAAAAGTAAAAACAAATTAGAACAAATACAATAGCAGATTCTCATTAATTCTTCCTGGTTCGGCTTAATTCCTACATACCAGACATCACTTTTACCAAAATGTAAACAAATTTGTTGATACAACCAAATAAGAATGAACTTTGTGTTTTATTTAGGTTATCAGTTTATAACTACAATCAGATAATTGAATAACTGCCCAGTCCAATAATTGGCAAAAGAACTGTTTTTCAATATTTCAACCATTATTTATTTAACAGAGGCATTTTAAAATGCTCAAAATGCTAGTACAGTGTGTAACATAATGACATTACGCAGGAGTCCTTTATAATCATGTCATATTACTACACAAACAATCATTATCTGTGTATAATGCAGGGCTCTCCATCTGCCAGATTTGGGGCCAATATTCTGCCCCATTCCCAATGCAAAATAGTATCGTTTTTCCCAATTTAGACCCCAAGTTTTCCCAATTCTAAGGAAAACGCTGCTATTTTTCCCAATTCTACGGGCTCCGGGCCCCAGTCCCAAAATGGGTTGTGAGAGCCCTGTAATGATAATGACCATTACCAAGATGACAGAGTTATTTACAATAGTAACAGGTAATATTCATAAATACACTAATTTCCCTTAAAATTGCTGTTTAAAAATTGACACTCCTTACACACATTTTATCCATGGAAAAGCCTAGCCTTTAAGCTGATAAGAAAAGATATAACTATGAGTAGAAATGAATATTAACATACATGTATATATTGTATCATTTTACAATACAACGTCTGTGCCATCAGTCACACCAAAGTTGTCTAAAGTGCTCTTAACTGTTCAAGTAACAAAGTCCTCTCTTTCTATATACAACTACAGATTTCTTTTTTCATAGAATCTTGAAGAAATTCTTACGGTGCGTTAAGTTGTAAAATACAAAGAAATTATCATATAGTCTTGCCTTTCAAAGGGAATTCCCAAGCAGTAGAATGTCCTGCTAAAGACTGAAGGGTTGCTAGTTTGAACCATATCGGCTTTTCCATTACTTTATTCTACTGCACCAGGAACAACCAGATAAAATATACGATATTCCTTTTACTTTACATCTGGAGAAGTGTTACCCCTGTGTTCAGGGTTTCAGACTCTGGTATTCATAGGGCCCAGTACAGACCAATTCCCATTTGAAAATTGACACTGTATTTTCTAAATTTCGGTTTGCATTTTCCGAAGGGGGATACTGGTTAAAACATTGTCTACATTTACAGTATGTATTCTGTTTTGGAAAATATGGACCTTCTGCAATGAATTTTAACAACCTTCAAAACAAACATGAAATTAATAGAAACAAACAACTTTATATGTTTAAGTTTCTGTGGAATTGGAGAGAGATGGGAGTGGAACTAAGGCGGGAGACATATCAATTCAGACGCTCGTTTTAGATATTCAGAAAAACTAAAATACAAACATCTATTGGAATCTGTAGACACTATCAGTTTACCAAGTAGAAAATGCAATACATATCTAACTTATAATCAAGACAGACCACTGGAAACATTATTCAAGAATTGCGAAAAAGGGATTTTAGAAATAATGACAGGGCTCTCGATCTCCCAGATTTGGGGCCGAACAATGCAAAATAGTATCTTTTTTTCCCAATTTAGACCCCAAGTTTTCCCAATTCAAAGGACAGACCACTGGAAACATAATTCAAGAATTGCGAAAAAGGGATTTTAGTAATAATGACAGGGCTCTTGATCTCCCAATTTTGGGGCCGAACAATGCAAAATAGTATCTTTTTTTCCCAATTTAGACCCCAAGTTTTCCCAATTCAAAGGAAAATGCTGCTATTTTCCCCAATTCTAAGGGCCCCGGACCCCAGTCCCAAAATGGGGTGTGAGAGCCCTGAATGATAAATTGTTCATAAGCATTAAAAATAATTAATCAACAATTGAAATTATTTTCTAGTGTTTGCTAATTTGTTAGTATTTTTTTATGTTATTTCTTGTACTGATATTTTAGTTTTACATTTTAGTTACAGTATTTTTTCCTATTGTTGGATTTCTTTGTTAACCAGTCCTAATACAATAAACAAATACAAATTATATGAAAACAATCCTATTTTGCATACATTTATTATTTGCCAACTTTTCAAAAGAGACACAGGCAGCTGTACATCACTACACGTAGAAAATGGTTTAAGGGCATACATAATCAGAAAATGATTCAAAATTTGTCTTAAAATAGCTGTTTTAATAATATTTATAGAATATTTGTAGAAATTAATTAAATGTCTACCCTGATTGTTATTATGTTATTCTACTTGTTTTATTTTTTAAATTGTCTAATTATTTTTTTCAATTTTATAGTTCTTTCCAAAAAATTTTGAAATGTCTATGGTATTTTCTCAATTCGTGAAAAATGTTGATGTTTTTTTTATGTTTTTGCTCAGGGCCCCTTTCCCAACGTAGCTGATAAAACCCTGACATTGACAGTGGATCATGGGCTGTGAAAACATCCCGAGAAAAAGTAAAAAGCGCTGTCGCGGAGTAAGTAGTCTCCATAGTAGTTGAGATACTTAACTGCTGTGACAATCACCGTCAGCTGATCAAAGTGTCATGACTACTAAAACTCACCAAAACTGAGAAAACACATGATAATCAAAATGAGGTATCTGTGCAGAAATCGGCGGGGATTACAGGCCAGAGTCGCTCCACATCCCGTCAATTCTTCGTCCTCTTCTTCATCGTCCGTTTTAGAGCGGAGGAGTGGAGTTTTCTCAGCGTCTGACATTTTGTTTTTTTGGTTGCTTCCTTCGCGTGACTACTTTCTCTGACCAGGTGGTGTATCACGAGACTGACTAAAAATAGAAAAATACCCTAGGGAAAATATTTTGCGTTTTCTATATTTTTGCTCACTTAAGTTATAATAAAATACAAAGACTACATTGAAAATGAATTGAAAAGTCTTTTGTCATAACTTAAGCTGATATACTTTAGTGTTTAAAAAGTTAAGTGCTTTATATGCTTTTGTTTAAAGACTATGCGGCTTGTTCCGTTGTAAACTTTACTGTATCCGGTGTTTCCCGGCTGAGAAGAAGAAAGAACGCACTGCTTCGCGCTTTTCATCATTTCATCTGTTATACTTGCTTTGCAGGATCATGAGTTCTGCAAGCAAGGTACTTAAGTTTATTGTCCCATTTTAAATTATGCATATATCGCAATGTGTGCACTGTACCGTTAAGTAACTTAATTCCATTTAACCGATTTAAGAAGACAAATCGCCATATCATGGTACATTGAATATTTCAAGACGAGTTGTCTTGTTGCTGTGGTTTTTGGGTTGTGTACATGTTATCATATCGTCAATGCTATATATTGGTTCTTGTTTATTATGTGTTATTTGTTCTTCGTCTTTTTATCTGATTGCGACATATGTTTATCTAGTTACATTTTGTGCATGTGCATCACATGTCTGCTCTGTGAGTCAAAATATTGAATTTCTTATTGGCATTGGCGTCAGACAGAAAAAAAACCTTGGCAAATGAGTCGGTTATTGAAGAAAAGACTTTTTGTATATTAATTTCATTTTGTTGTTGGTTTCGGTTGTAAACGGAACTTAAACCCTTTAACACATTTCATAATTTCCTTGAAGGAACAATGTGGCAAATGTAGATTAAGAAGTTGTTTTTGACTCAAATGATATTTCATATAACAAAAGGCAAAGCTGGAAAAGAACATCTGGTATTGAAGTTTTACAACTGATTTGATATAGGTGCATCCTAAAAGTGATTTGATAGTACTGTGAGCTTTGATGAAAATTGAAAGTCTAGTTGTAACTGCTTGTTGACAAAAATGTTTACAACTGTTTATTTGATTAAAATATTAATTGTTAAGTGATTTCTCAGTAAATTCCAATCAATATTTCCACAAGGACCTGTATAAGCTATTGTACCACATCTGCTGAAGTAGAACTCTCCCTTTCACAAGACAAAACAGTGAAGCCATGCTGTGTTGGTCGTGTCTGGCCTATTTTTTTTTGCCTATGGAATGTATGGTTCCTGTATGTATTGCAACAGTCAATGTGTTAAAAGTAAAATCAATATAAAAAGCTATTTATCCATACACTTTGTGCCAACTCTTTAAAAGAAAATGAGATATATTCTGGTAGCATTGAGTATTATTGTGGCTTTAATAATTATTTTATTTTAATTAGCATTCAAATTTAACTTACAAGTCACTCTCACAGCAACCAATGTTTTTTGAATGCCTAATTAAGGGAGATAACTCTCAACAGAAAGTAATTTACAGTCTCCAACTCTTCTATGAATAATTGTACAAAGTATGACATGAGATGTGTATACACTCTCCACAGTGATCCGTAGTTTCAGTGTCTTTTTCTTGACTGAAAATTTCAAAGAAAACCACAAACATCTTGGATTAATGATATGCTAAGTCTGTTTTTCAACTGGAGTATGGCGTTAGTTTTTTTACTAGTTGAAAAATAATGTTATACACATGATGTCCTTAAAAGAAACACATGTTTTTAATATGCTGTTGATTTTTCTTATATTGTTATCTTAATGTGCAAAACATAATGCTATCTTTGGCTATTGACTTTAAAAATATTCTTTTTTAAGTCCTGAACAGTTTTGCTCTCAACAAACATGTTTGGCCATAAATGACTTTGTTTGTTAACGGACTGTTAAAACTCAAAATCAAATCAATATATTGGAAGGAGGTAACTTTGTTCAGTTTTTCATGTCAGTTGAGGGCTGTTAATGTAAAACAGGCTTTCTTGAGCTGAAAATTTTGAGATTTTCATAATCAAGCATATATCGGGTATGCAAATCCTGAAACAAATCTTACTGTTGCTGCCTATGTGGATACTAAGTCCATGGCATGAAGCATTTCCTGTTAATGTATATTTATATAAATTCTGGTAGCAGATGAAGTAATGATATTTGAAAATTTGATATTCATGTATTATATCATGCGGTTTTGTAGGTGGGTGAGATATTCACAGCGGCTGGAGCAGCCTTTAGTAAGCTAGGAGATCTTACAATGCAACTTCATCCCACGGCAGAGCCAAGTCCCTCAAGGTAAGATTTTCACTCCTACAGGAAAAAAAGTCACTTTTTTTCTATTGTTGATTTACTGAAATTTCTAATGATATCTGCAGTTTCCATAAAAAATATCTTACTGAAGTGAAGTTACTGGGTGAAATCAAGATTTTACTGACAGCTATGAAAATTTTCTGTTTAAGCAAGTTTCAAGTAAGAATGTGCTTTAACGCTATTTTGGGAAAGAATATTAGATTAAAGTAGAACGCAAGGATGCACATACAGCCCCCCTGTCACACACCTGTCTTTATAGTAATAAAGGTAATTAAGAGAAATTTGATTATAGAAGTGTATTTGACGGTAATGTAGTGTAGCTTGTGTGTACTGTATGTACTATTGACCTTGGAACAGTGGGAAGTGGACACAACAGGAAATAGATCTGTTGAGAAATGCTGTGAAAAGGTTTGGTGATGACTTGGACAAATTAAGTGATGTTATTAAAACAAGGACAATGTGAGTACAGAATCTTGTCTGGAACTGAAACTTAAAACATGATATTTATTATTTTGCATGTGACTACATATACATGTTTGAATTTATTTTAGAACAAAACTCTAACATTTAGATTTCATTATATTAGTTTTGAAGGAAATTCTTTGGAACTTTAAGCTTGCCTAAACAAAAGATTTCATCGCATGTGATAAGAAGTTAGATGTTTTTGATGCTCGTTAGTATGCCTTGATGTTTCTTTGTTGTTCATCCTAAAATACTTATTTTGATTGACGAAGATTTCCCTAAATATTCGTGTTAGCAGTACATAAATATCTAGGTTCGATATCAATGGAATTAGGAAAAATGAAAATTAAGACTTCACATAATAAGTAACCTAATCAAGCATCCAGTATATTGTTTGTTCAAAGCTCATACACTGTTCAATTGTCATCATGTACAGTATACCACAGTGCACACAATGGAATTGAGTTGGATACAAGTTTAAGATTTTGTTGGTAATATATGATTGTATCTCCTATGTTAGTACTCAGATCCGAACACAAATGAAACGGAAGTCTTATGAGGATGCTGGTCTGCCCCAGCCCACCGACTCTCCCAAGAAGGTAGTGATCGATAAGAAGCTTGTGACTGTAACTACCACGCCCACTGCTGCTGCTGTGGGTGGGGAACCACAGGCCAAGAAACAGAAGAATGGTGGGTTGCAAAGTCATCTTTCTTACTTTTGATGGAGAAACTAAAATAAATTCATCCTTTCTCAGTGATCTTATACTGAGAAGTAGATATATAGATATATGTTCTAAAACAGCCACAAAAATTTGTATAAAATGTGATGGATATTTTCATTAATATCAACCTCTCTTTAGGAAGATCAGATCACGTTTTTAAAATCATGTTGTTCTTTTTTTTTACTTTAGTCAGAAGTAGACTAATAATCATAACTTTTGATGAAATTTTTCATCAGAATATTTAGAAGGACTTAAATGATATGATATAGATAGCTCATTTGTTCAACAAAACTTGGTTTCAGGTAAATCATTTAATAGTTAGGTGTGTAAAGTCTTGACTTAATGTGCTAGTTAAGTCAGTTAATTGTGTTTTATTTTGTATATTGATTTTACGCGTCTAGACACTATATTTTAAATGTTCGCATTAACATAATGGGGTTGTCAGATTAATAAGAGAGGCATATAAATTAATTTAACATGGAAAGAAAAACTTATATATATTGAAATATCGTTAATAGAATTACCTGCCACATCAGTGTATCAACGTTTGCCTGGTTGTGTTAATGTTTGCTTATTTCTTCGATCTTAAGTATCGTTTCCACAATGACAAGAATTCTGCAGAAAGTTAACTTTCTATTTTAGACAGAGTTATGACCTACTAGTGAATCCAATTTATGGTGAGCATCTTTGGGATGTATATTTAGTGTACATGTCTCCTGTTGGTAAACTAAGTGAACTCCACAGGTGTTATGTAGGGATCAGTCTTTGTCTTTTCTAATACTCTAATAGCAATGTAAAGTACAGAGATATGTGGGAACACTGGTCAGTACAAATGTGGGAAAATTTTGATCCGCAAATTATTATTATTATTACTGTTCTAACGGCCCATCAACACATAAAAGGTCATTAGGGCCAACAACCGGTGAATATGAAAGTGATGGTAAGGATTATGAGAACAAATCTCTATTCTTGAGATCTGTCTTTTTAATAAACATCTGAGTGTTTTAGCGTTAGTATTTAATCTATTCCAGCTTGATTGCTTTTCAGTTAGATGTCAGACTGGACAGGGTAATCTTACAAACATCTAATTAAATCAGATTACACAGGTTAATCTGAGAAATATGCTTTGTCCCACAGATTAGACAGGTTAGTCTGTATCAGACATGATAAAACTCTGAATATAGGAGCTTTCCATAGTACATGTCTCTAATAAATCATCATTCACAAATTTAAAGTCATTTTTATATTACTGTTCATGAAATCATATATTCAGGAATATGTCTGCAGAGATGAGATTGTGAGATAAGTATTTATGAAATTCAAGTGATTTACAGTATGCACAGGCCTCAGGATGTTAGCATTGGTATTGTCAAAGAGCAACTGTGTTTATCACATTTTGATAAGGTAATGATGCCAGTACTTTCCTAATAATTGTTGAAGCTTCAGAAAGTGCCATTATACCTTTCGGTCTAGTTTTCTGCCTTGCTAGGACCATTTTAAATACTTAATTCTGATTTTACGCATTATCGTCAATAATAGCTCAAACTCTGAGCTCAGGCATTCTTTCACATAATTCACATAAATTTCTGACTATGCAAAAGTTGATTATCATATGTTGTGTACTGCTGGATGGTAGATTAGACATGTTTCACTTTCATAATGACATGGATTGATCCCAGAAATGTTTTCTAACTTGTGACATATACACTTTCCTTGTTCTGTTGTTTGTTAAAATTTATGGTTTGTACTGGAATTCTTTTTTTCCCTTTTTGTTCTGTTTTTTATTATTACTTTTTTTTTTAATTTCACTTCAGTTTTGTTATTGTTGCGAGCGTTGTTCAGGTTATTGTCTAATTTTCAGATGTGACACTCAGTGCATTGAATGCTCCCGAAAGTGATGTGGATATTGAAGGTGATTCATCATCCTCTAAGAAATTAGAGTTTGACTCAGGTACGAAGTAGAATTCAAGAAACAGATATGTCGTCATACTTTTTTGTATTCAATTTAAATATTACATGTTAAGTAATTTATTAACTAGAGTAACTGTTTCAGCTTGTATGAGAAGCCTATATTGTCAAAAATATACTTTTAATCTTACACAGGAGGAGATACATTTTTCTTGCACCTCAGACCTAATTGCTCTTGATAGCCTGTAATGGGCCTCCCTTATGTTGTTCAGTAAGGTGGTCACCAGGTCCTGAAAGGCCTATAAATGTTGACGTGGTGATAAACCCAACAAACAAACTAAATCAAAACAGAATAAATACTTTGCTGCAAAAGGAAGTGACTATAAGGATATACAATTGTGATAAAGATTTCCTTTTTGCATTCACAACTAAAAATTCTTGATAGTAGTTGTAAAACAGATGATTGATAGATGACAACAACATTTTTAGACAAGAAATCAAGCCAGCCATTAGAGTTTTACTCCACAGAAGTCTTCCACTGTTGGAAAAGGATCAATTTTGATGTAGACATTGCTATAGACATGATCAAAATAAAGTTTAAATAATTTATAATAAAATCTGTATTTTTTTTGTGTTTCAGATGTGGATTCTAGTATGTTATGACTAAAGAAAAGCCTTTGATACCCCTGTCAGTGTGGGAACATGATGAAACTCTGCTACCAATTAGTCTGACGATTAGTTAGGTACAAATTTCTTGTGAAATTTTGTGTACCAAATCAAATATTGTTAAAAGATAATTTGCTTTGAGGATTTTCATTGCATTTGTTGATTACATCTATATCTTAATGATGTTTCAGAAAAGTGACTATGAAAGTGTGTATATGTGCGAGTGTGTTGTGTTAGTGTTTCATGGCATGACAATACTGGATAACCTCCCTTTGTTTATCACATTAGGGTTGTCATCATATATAATGCTTTTTCATATCTAATGTAGTGTTGATCTTGTAATAAGACTATACTATATTATCTTGTTTGTTTGGATGGATTATAATCTCAAAATTATCAAAATATGTTAGCAAATTGTACTGTATGTACCTGCTAATTCAGAAGTCTTTGAAACTGCAAATCTCATTTCAGAAATATCCAACAATAACAGATATTTCATAGAGGAAATAATCAGGAATAATTTCCTTATAAAGAAAAAATTGAAAAATAGTTGACGAAACTTGAGTGATTTTTGAGTGAGAGAGTTGATGTAAAATTTATGTATAAATGTTTTTTACTTTCTGTGGAGAGGCAGCATTGATACAAAATATTGTAATATGAATTGTGTGTACATAACTTTAATAAGCTTTTTTAATGTCAGTTAGGTTTTATTTTGAGTTTTATAGAAATGACAGACATCATTTTCATTGTATAAATACCATTATATAATATCATTTTGTAAATATGTATAACTTCATTATTTTCATTATAAACCATATTGTGTTCGTTGCCTTTATTTTATTGTGTATCATGAGTAAATTTTTGGACATTTCCTGAATATTAAACTGTTTACAAAATACATGTAAAAAGAATCAGTTAAAGCTGACATATTGATTTTTTGAGGTCCATGTATTTTTGACAATTATTCCTTACAGGTTTGTAGTGCTGGTTGTCAGAAAATCATGTTAGTGATGATCCAGTGTGTGTGTTAATATATACCAGCACAGAAATGTCATGACTTCATATCTTCAATTTAATAGCCCACTTGGTCTGATTGACCAGTGAAATCCTACTCCTTTAGAAGTCTTCAGATTTTGTCTAAATCAAGTTTAGCATTCTTGGGTAAAAAAGGAAATCATTTTTGATAAACAGAGGGTCTTGACCATCTGGAGCCAGAGGAGTGGGGCCCCACATTAGGGGGAATAGACCCAATTATTTAAAATCTTACTCCTCGTTCAGGAATGGTTGGATTTTGTCCAGATTTGATCTGAAGCATCCTTTGGTGAAGAGAGTGCATGTAAACCCCTTTAAGAGGAGGAGGGAGGAGGGGGCCTAATAGTGGAAATAGATAGTGTTGAAAAGGTTTTCCCTTTAGGTTAGATTAATCAATTTTGGCAAACTAATCCAGGTAAGGGATACAGGCCCATGGAACTCATTTTGTTTTGAAAATTTCAGAAAATCAAGAAGATCTTGAAAGGCCAAGAAATTCTGATGAACGAACATTGAAGTTCTTTTTTATATAAATATTAAGATCAATCCAGTACATCTTAATGACATGAATCTTATTTCAAGGTAGGCTTACTTTATTCTTTATGATAGTGTATTGGTTTAACCTAGAATACAAGAACAGGTATAGAGTAGAATGATAAGCTACCTGATATACAGAACAAACAGTGTGTGTATCGAATTAACAATAATATCTCTAATTTCCAGTTATAAAATTTCTACATCAAGCAAGCTCTGTGTACAATTTTTTATGAAGAATTTTGAAGTGAAGAATATGTTGGGTTTATCGTTATTCATTTGATGAAATAGAAATTTTGAAATATAATACAATCCTAGTTCTGACTGTTACATCAAACCATGTCCTGTATATTTTGGAACATTATCTTCAGGTTGGTAATGTCAATAGAATTTGTCTGATGAATGTGATCGTGTAGTCACTGACACATCACACTCAAATCTTCTACTGGTTGTGTTATAAGAACTTCTATCCTGTCACATCCTGTATATGTGTGTTAACATTTTTTGATAATTTTCCAACTGGACCAGCTCTTAATGTAAACCACTTAGCTGTTTCTTTGAGAGATAAACTCTGTTGTATATGATATAAATGAATTACCATGTTTATGAATATTGGTATGGTAATATTGAATTTGTATCAATTGACATAATTTAGTAAATTTTAACAAATTCAGATGTTTACATCGTACAAGTTTACTATAATCTATATACTTATATGACTACAGAGTCTCCATGCAGACTCAATGGCATCCTGTCAAATCTGATCTCTGTTGTTTTTAACAACATTTCAGAATTTTACATTTTTCACAGTCAGCAATGATTTGTAAACAATAAAATGAGTAAGGAAATGATATCCTGTTTTCTTGTTATGAGCGACTTCAATCAGCAAGAATATTTTTGTTTTTTGCTCACCGGGCCCAAAAGGCAAAGTGAGCTGATACTTCTGCATTTCTGTTGGCACCAACTTTTCCATTTAAACAACTTCTTCTCAATAATCAGAAGACCAAATTTCGTGGTATTTGGCTGGACATTTACTAAGATGAAACCCAACAGTTTTTGTGAAAAGAAATTACCTTGATTCATATTCAAGGTCACAGGAGCCAAATTTGTTAAAACCTTTAAATGATTTCTTCTGTTGAACCAAATAGTACAAAAGCATGGTATTTGGCTGACAGGTTCCAGGGATGAAGCCTAACAAAGATTGCAAAAAAAGAACATCTTTTTGGGGATGCTAAGGTTGACTAACATCAGAATATATCTCAGAAAGCTGAGTCTTCCTACAAACATTGATAATTTTGACAGGACATTCATGTTATGGTCATATCTGTTGTAAACATATATCTGTCCATCTGTTCATTTTCATTGGATTTTGATGAAAGTTGCTTTCAATACTTGACACCTGTCCATATATTTCTTAATATTAAGAAACTCAATCACAAGGGGTAGGTATTATGCGGGGCCCTTCCTCGACAATGGTCTAGTTTTGACAGGACATTCATGTTATGGTCATATCTGTTGTAAACTTTCATTTGTTCATTCTCATTTTCCTTTGGTAGTTTTCAACTAATCCCTTTCAAATACAGCTATGATTTCCTGAATGGCAGTTTGATTCAACCATTCTTAGGAGAGTTTTTGCCCCTTTCAATATTGTTTGCCGATCTGCTCAGAGTTGATAACCATTTGTGTTAATTACAACTTTGTTGTTTATATAGCAATTACTATGGGTGGATGCACAAATTTATTTATGCATTAATTTACCAAAAAGCGATAATCCACTTACAAATTAAGTACATTGAAAGTATTTGAATCTTGGTTTTAGCTTAATCACCATGGCATGAATTTACACTTTCTCCCACATTTAGAAGAAAAAGTTTTGGGAGAGTTATAGCCCTTTGTTTAGTTTATTTTCATGGTTAATGTCTTGTCTAGAGGTCTCCTCAGTTTTTAACCAGTTTCTTCAAAACTCTGTTGGCTTTGTAACGATGATATGAAATTGTTTTCCAAAAATGACATTTATTTCAGCATTTTGATTTTGTCGAGAAATTCTTCCCAAGGATAATGTGTTCTCATTGAAAGTTAATTGTCATATTCTATCATCAAAACAAAACACACAGAGACATTTTGACTCATTACATGTTAGAACAGTGCCCATGAGTCATCCTATGAAACATTGGGAGTTCCATGCTCTACATCAATGAATCTTGATTCAACGTGTGTATCACTGTCGAGGAGAGTGTCTTGCAGATATGTGTGTTTTAGAACATGACTGATTTGGGGTGGACTGGCTATAGATTGGGCAGGAAGTTCAGAATTGACATTCCTCTACAAATAGTCAATATCCTTAAGAACTCATGCAGAAAGAGAGACGCTGCAGCTGGTCAGGGAGGGGCACACAAGATATAAGGGATCGGTCTGACAACTGCCATTACTTCATCTTTGTGTACATGAGGGTACCCCAATTCATGGCAGGCTAATAAAGTCTTCATTTGTTTAAAAATTGAAGGCTGATGTCCAATATCGGAAGTTAACTATTGCATTTCAAATTTAAGCATACCACCCATCAATATAATTTTTTAAACAGTAAATTTGAAGTTCTGTTTGCTAGGCCATCTGACCTGAAGAGTCAAGACAACCTGTTGTCAGCATTGTCAGGGGCTGGGGCCAAAAAGGGTAGTTAGACAATACTTTGCTTCAAAATGCTACTTTTCTTAATACTTCAATGGATTTCATTCAAATTTTGTCAGAAACATTAGAAAATAGACAATGTTTCAAAATCCTATTCATCTTTAATGCTTGAATGGATTTCATTCAAATTTTTTCTGAAACATCAGTAGATGAGGGCAATTAATCCTTAAGTTCAGAAAGTTGATTTGACCCCTAGGTTCCAGGGAGTGGGGCCACAAATGGGAAAGTTAGTCAATGACTTTGCTTGAAAACACTATTTTTCCTCAATGCTTGAATGGATTTAAACCATCATCGTAGGAATTCATCAGATTTGTCAGACCATCATCTGCAATTCTGTGGTTTGTCTGTCCTTTCATCAATTGTCAAATGTCCATTAAGGGCCATGACCCTCTTATTCTTCCTCTCAGTGTATCATTATGTACCAGCAAATCTAAACTTTCGTACCAAAAACATCACAAAAATAATCATTTATATGTAAATACTTTTATTTTGATAATAACAATCCTATTTATATATATCATCAACACACATCATTTATGTAGCACTTATGAACTAACAGACACTGAGCCAACAAAGTTACAGCCAAGTTAGGACCTGTAAATCAGTCGCTGACCAGTGTATTCCTGGCTAGGTTAACCAAAATATTGCTTCTGATTGCCATGAAACTGTGCAAAGCAAGAGAAGCCAGTTGTTAACATTGATCGGCAGTGGTTATTATCGAGAGACTTTTAGCGGAAGTGAAAAAAAATCTGTCTCAACATTAAATATAAACAAGTCTGACATTTTCATCATTGAGTAGTAAAATCCTACCCAAAAGCAAAAATCTACAATATAATTAGTTCCAGATCACATCACACTATGGCAGAAATTTAATGTCTCAGATTTTTCTCGATGAAAAATTTAGGATTTTTCACTTATGTATAGCTGAATGTATCCTTAAATCATTTCATTTTTTCATTTCTCTATATACACTGCTGTTCACTCTCCGTGAATCCACACATCAAAACACAACATACAGCTTGTATACAATTGAGGGCAATATTTTGATGCAAATTCATAAATTTTATAAATTACAAAAGTTTAAATAAAGATTATAATGTACTTGATGCAAATTCATAAATTTTATACATTACAAAAGTTAAATAAAGATTAATGTATTAAAGACATAACTTCTACAATTTTAATCGGAGTATACTGATTTTTAGTAACAACTGAATGATTGCAAGTTTTAGGTAATGTAACAACACAAGTATGTATTTTTAAACAACAAATATTTCTCATAATTAATGGTAAGCATATATACAGACCTCCCAATCCTTGATAAACTTAACAAGACAATGAATTCAATATTTTGTTTAAACATTTCTTGAAAACATTTTGCATTAATCCCAATGCGTTTACAAATGTGATATATATATTTAGACGGTGATAAAACAAATTTGACAGTCTCATAATGTAAATTTGACATCTGCACCAAATGCCGTATCCTTGAAGCACCAATCACCTCTAATGTTCATTAGCCTGTGATTTAGTCATACTACCAGACACTAAATGAGGAGATTATATTTTCGCTTAAAAAAAAAAGCCCTTACCAGATGCGAAACATTTTTAACACTACAAAGGCAGCCAGACATTGCTGGAATCTGGTGAAAATATTTCTGCCTTGCGTGTTAAGAAAAACATATTTGCCTTAGTGAATAGCATTGCACACAGAAATACATATACAAAATGTAATCATGATAACCATGGATTTCAGAATAGAACACAACTCTCTTTAATATTCTGCATCATATTTCAATATAAACTTTGTCCCAGTGTATGCTGGACAGTCAACCAATTAACCTGAATCTCTAATCAACCTTAACTTAATCTTTGGTTTACATCTTAACTTAGTATTGAGTTTATTTCTTAACCTTAAATCAATATTTGGTTTACTGCTTAACCTCACCTTAATGTGGGCTAACTGCTTAACCTCAACTTAATCTGGGCTAACTGCTTAACCTCATCTTAATCTGGGCTTACGTCTGAACCTCAACTTAATTTGGTTTTACTGCTTAACCTCAACTTAATCTGGGCTAACTGCTTAACGTAAACTTAATCTGGGTTTACTGCTTATCCTCAACTTAATCTGGGTTTACTGCTTAACCTCAACTTAATCTTGGCTAACTGCTTAACCTCAACTTAATCTGGGTTTACTGCTTAACCTCAAGTTAATCTGGGTTTACTGCTTAACCTTAACTTAATCTTGGCTGACTGCTTAACCTCAACTTAATCTGGGTTTGCTGTTTAAACCATAGTTAGTTTTTGGAAAGATGAAAACTTAACAAAAGCTAATATAAATCCCTGCCTCAGTTTGTGTTAAATAAGTTCGAGAAACTTAAAAATAATATCAATTATGATTCTGTTCATGCAAAGATTGACTAAATAGTCAATAATACCTTAATATCCAGTGGTCAAAGTAGAATACTCTACCAAAGGAAGCAAAAAGTTTGAAACATTGGTAATATATGGCATTAGTAATCTTTATTGAACTAATTTCTATAACAATGACCTGAACTGGTTTCCAAAGAGTTTAATCTACAAGATATTAAAAATACAATGCATAGGTGATGATAACTATAAATATGTATAACACAAATATAGAGTTAAATATAGAATATGTTTATACTATTTAGAAAATATAAGTATAATTGTAATAGTTTAATAATATGTAACATGCATTTTGTAATAAATTTTACCTATAAGATGAATCATGTCCCCACACATTACCTTATAGTACGGAGTTGTCGCCCCTTAATAGTGCTCTCTTATTCTAAAATGTTTCTTGTACACAGCATTACTTTAAAGTGAATAAACTATGGAGTTGTCTCCCTGAACATTTTTTTTTCATATGTAATCAGACTTGTCTCCTTATTACTATATTCTTACATGTATAGATGTTTTCTGAAGAAGTATACTTCAAGAGTTCTTATGGAAATGGGCAAAAGCATAAAATGAGTAGTTATCTCCCCAGTAGTTATAAATGGTTAGAAAAAAGACCATCTTAAATACTTGCAGATTCTTTTCTGTTCATAATAGATTGTAAATGTTTCAAAATGATTAACACATATCTAGTCTTTGATTGGTTCTGCATGGATTCCATTTCGATCAGTTAATACTGAATTATAGCTACAACATTTCAAAGTAAATAGTGTCTAGATCTGTGTTAGAAACATCAGGACTGTAGAACAGGTATGTTAGTCTGCATTTTTACTGTACTAGGTGAACAGTGTCTGGACCTGTGTTAGAAACATCAGGACTGTAGAACAGGTATGTTAGTCTACATTTTCACTGTACTAGGTGAACAGTGTCTGGACCTGTGTTAGAAACTTTAGTCAGGTATGTTAGTCTACATTTTTACTGTACTAGGTGAACAGTGTCTGGACCTGTGTTAGAAACATCAGGACTGTAGAACAGGTATGTTAGTCTACATTTTCACTGTACTAGGTGAACAGTGTCTGGACCTGTGTTAGAAACTTTAGTCAGGTATGTTAGTCTACATTTTTACTGTACTATGTGAGTAAGGTATGTACATGCCATTTTGAGTCACATGTGTTTTTCTCATCGCAGAAAAAACATCTATATTTAGCCTAGAACAGATAAAAAAATATCATCTACAGAGAATGGAATTAGAATCTAAACTATAATCTATAAACACATAAGAGAAAATCTCACCTGATAGAAGTACCTTAAAGGTTCCATTTCATAAGAATATAAGTAGTTTTAACTGACCTGTAACTACAAATTAGCAACTAATTCAAAGTTATGGAAGATGAAATGGGACTTAGGGTAGAAAAATACATATAAAATGGTTTTTAAAGCTTTATTATAATACTGAAAATTACCATTCAAAAATACCTAGCAAAAGAAGGCTGGATATCTACCAGCTCTTAACTAAAAACCCACATGTTTTTTTCATACCAGAGAGATTACTATGGATTGAAGTAACAAAATATCAAACAGATTTACAACGTAACCCAATACAAAAAATTTCTCGTTTATAAACTTTAGTGATTAGTAAACAATAAAATACACTGCTATATATAAGTAGGAAAAATATTTTTACAGAGAACAATATGTAGTTTCCTTTCTTTTTCAAATTTTCCTGAATTTGCGGAAGTAATTTTGCCCAGTCAGTATAAAAGTTAAATATCCTGTGTAAGTTTTGAGCAAGATGTAATTTCCTTTATTTTTTTCCTGAGTTTGTGGAAGTACTTTACAAAACTTAACATACTACTATATTAAATGTTGTAATAATTCATTCTAATAGATCAATTCACTGCAACCCCCTAAAATACTGATATAACTTAACATGAACTTAAATAACCACTTTTCCTTAAAAAAAAACACCAAAAAATAAAACAAAACCTTCTCAAAAACATTCTCCCTTAAAAATCACTGTAACTTAGTATGAATATGTTTAACACAATACTTCAAACTCCCAGTAGAGCTGATATCCTTTAGAATGCACATACACACCTGTCCATTTACATACATTTATACAAAGGTGAAAAAAAACCCATCATACCTCTAGTCCTACTTAACCATAATGTCAACAAATATTTCTAATCAATCATTTCAGTGACTGGTCATGTTTTCATTAATAACATCAACTATAAATCATTTTCTTACAGAAAAATCAATCTGTAGGTGACCCTGCCATGTGTGTTCTTACTGTACAACATTAGTAGAAGCACCCATTTAGGGTACCATCACAGATGGTGTGAAATATTCTGACGTCGACTGGAGTCGACTCCAGATCAATCGGAAAAAGTCTATAGAACTTCAGAACAATTTGGACTACATTACAGACTAGTCTGGAGAGGACAAAACATCAGTCTTACACAGAGATAATTTGGACTGTATATTACAGACTAGTCTGGACAGGACAAAACATCAGTCTTACAGAGAGACATAACTAATGTACAGGATTCTTTATAATGAGAACAAGCCTTTTGAACACTAAAGTTATGCCACTGAAATCAAATACTTATATTTTATTCCAGTGAAATCAAATTTGTCTATCTCATCCCACGGTAATGTCCATCAATATTTCCTAACATTTGTTATAGTAAACTGAAGGAATCAAACTGGATAGAAGTTCTTATAACAAAACCAGTGGAAGATTTGAATGTGACATTTCAATGACTACACAGTCACCTTCATCAGACAAATGACCAGTATGGAGTGTATTAGCACTGATGTATGTAGTGTATGAGATGGTAAGGAATCAACCAACTTTATTGACTGTACTTTAATGCCGTGTACTCTAAGGTCGAACATATATGACGAGATGGTAAATAGAACATAAACCAAAAAATACACATGATGGTAACAATGTACTGTACTATGCTTCCCCACTTTTTAACCCCACTTTTTAAGGAATTAGATAAGATTGCTGTCAGGGTTTGTCCATAACAAATTTATAACATAGTGCTAGGCATATCAATAATGATACTGTTCCACAAGACATATTAGCAGGAATGCATTTTATGATAAAATTACCAGAAAATGACATGCCACATGAACAATATGTTTTTATTCTGTAAATAATAGTTATGGAATTTTAGCAGATGACATTAATATCACCTAACTAACATCTACAATTTCTTTTAAATCAAGCATCTTTTAACAAACAGTTTTCTAAACTAAGGGTGGTCTGTTGATGCAGTGGTAGTGCACTTGCTTTTCAGCTAGACATCCTAGAGTAAGCTCCCTTGCATGCTTCTAACCGAGTCAACAAGAGAGATTACTATAAGCTTTTAGCCTGTTTTGCAATTATTATAAAATAAATAAAGTGTTTAATTAGACTAAGAACCCAACGCCTAAGCAATGCATTTTTAAGAGCCAACATACTCAAAATAACAGCGAACAATCTAGTACATTTCTTTGTCTCTAAATTACTCCCAACAAAATAGCCTTCTGTCAAAATGTAAACTTACAAGTAATCAAATGCTTTAACAGGAAACAAAAATAGATGATAATGAACAAAAATGCACATCTGGTACTTGTATAAAGTTGTTAAGAGTTGTAATAATTTTTAATAACCAATAACGGTATTAATGACCCTACAAGAAACTCCTGGGGAAGCCCTTACCACGATTTAATATCATTTTATAGCTTTTGTTTATAACAACTTAATTAACAGCACATAAAATGTACAGCTGTATCTGCAGTCATTATTTCCATATGGAAATTAGTCCAGAATATGTTTGCAGCATATTTTTAGGCCATCAAATTTTCTTAAATCTTGAATTTTTCCTTTGCTTTAAGCCAAATGAAGCTAAAATATCATTAATAATGTTTGAATTTTACTTTCGTTTTAATGAATGTATTTTCAATCACAATCACGTAAATCAATATAAATGGAAATAATGCGTTACTTTAGAAACTGATCTTTTGTCTCACCCAAAGTCCAACATCAAACCTTGTTTTATATTATGCACAAGAAATTCTGGTATGTCAACTCAAAATGGTGGTCTATTCCATGCCTGAAGTTATTATAAAGGTATACCAATATTAGTGCTTTACTCTTCAGGTGTTAATGGTACACCAAATCCCATACATTTTAAAACCTCTGACAGATCTATTCCTTGTCTGAGGATTTTGACTTTGTCGAGAATGGACTCGTGGTGGAACCTGTGTCCTCAGAAACTGGACTTTGTAGTGTCTCGTCCAATTTTTTCTGTATGTTCTCAAAGGCGTCCACTCCCATATAATCCATCTGACCCTTTTCCCAATTGAGTTTGCGTTCCTGGTCACTGACATCCTGCTCCGAATATCCTCCGTCCGCACCTTGGTCCGTCTGGATAGTCAAGCTGGCAAGATTAGCCACTAAGCCTCCCTGTAAAATTCAGAGAATATTGTGTTTATTTCTCCACACGGATCATGATGTCGACTTCATCGTCTTCACATTTCTATTCACTGTATCTATAGTGTATATCTATACATTCTACATGCCATTAAAACTCATAGCAAAATTTAGCATTCATAGATTTAACACAAAAATTTCATATTTACATCAATATTTTAGCACTGGAAACAAAATAACAAAAGAGGCATGCAAGTTTATTTTAGTGCATGTGTACGTGTATTTAAAGTTAACATAGTTCTGATTAAGTTGAGTTGAAAAAAAAATATGTCAGAAAGCTCCATTGTACATTGAAGAAAATGTAAAAAGAAAAATGGTTTTTAAAATTGTAATGCATTGCTGATGATAATTTTAAGTTTTGGAATTTCTGTAAGTATGGGAATATTTGTCAAACTGGGGCCTGGTAATTTCATCATACTTCCCTGAGGAACCCTCCAACATCTCCAAGATGTGTTGTACTAATTATATGGTACACTTCCATGTGTACATTTCTCAAGGACAAAAAAAAATATACTCGGTAAAAAAAATCACAGAACTAACATTGCCTTTGATGATACCAGGTGGATAGATTTGCAGATGTTAACAGGAAATGTAAGATAGGGTAATAATTATACTCAAGCACTTCATTTCACAGAAAATTGTCAGGAATGTTTAGAAATAAGAAAAGTGGCCAAAGGTCACCAGATCAATATGGACATGTTGAAACTAGATATATTTTCAGTCAGGAGAGACATTTTTAAAATTTTCAATTAAAATGTTTTGTAACGACTAATTAAGATTTGCCGTCAGAATAAATCAAGGAAGGATAACTACTGTTAACAAATAATTTTCAATAGTTTTCTATTTATTCTACTTCATGCATATCACTTTCATATTGCCCCACTCATTAACTTCTGGAGGTCATCAGAATCAACATGTGCATACAATCAAGCTGTCATCCTTCCCTCAAAGTTCTAACCAAGTTTGAAATATTTCCAATGAAAATTAAACAAATTATGCTCAAAAATTTATTTTTGTTATATCAACTACAGTAAAATTTCATTGAAATTGGCTATGGGATTTTTGAGAAGAAATCAAAAACGTTAAAAAATAGATTTTGTCTCAGGTGACTATTGTATTCGTCAAAACTCGAATCAAAAGAAACCAAATTGCAATTGTTTCTAAAATCTTTAGCAAAAACTGTTGTGCACTAATCAATTACACAATATTTCACAAATTAGACACTGTCAGTAAGAACAATAAGTTTGATAACAGGGTAAGTAGCATATTATTCACTGTGTAATATTTTATGGATTTCAAATACCAGCTGCTTTTGGTGCTGATAGAGTGATATTAGTTTAGATAAATTGAAATCATAACTGATACAAGGAATTTCTGAGAGCTGATTAAAACTGAAAGGTATTCCTCTTGAGATCTAATTACAGAACCATGCTAATTAAAAAAACAAACTCCACGAGCACTAATCAAATGAGAAAAGGAACATTTAAGAACTTTTTGAAAGTAGATGTTTTAAAATAAATCTTCATTACACTGATGGAAAAGAACTCAGAAAGTGATTTTACATCCTTCTACACTTAACAAAGAATAAAGAAAGAACACAGAATCACAACACTCATTATAAGATGTGTCTGTAAGTAGTGGTACACACACAACACATTACAATAGCTAGTCATGTGTGGTGCCAAGTGTCAAGGTCTATAGAAGGTCATGGCTGTACTCAGCTCAGTACAGAACAGTTACGTGAGACAATACAGGGACTTGGCACTGATCATTGTAGAGTGCGTATTGGTGATCTGAGAAGTCGGTGTGATTCATTAACATCTTACTCAAGGCATGGTCCAGTTATTATCATAAGCCAGGAAAACTTGAGAAATGGGGCTGGTGAGGTAATACATTATATAGCAATAGTCAAGATGATACTTTCCCATTGTACTACCATGTTACTATGGCCAGTATTGTCAAAATACTCATGTGTAGTTTACAGTGGAACATACCAAAATAGTATTACTATCACAGTGTTTTTGATATGTAAAGATTTTCATTTCACACAATGAAATTTGATGAAACTTTTAACAGTGTCATGATATGTCAGGCGACTCACACAAAATTAAAGTGCAATATATCAATTATTTGAAGATCAGACTATCTTGTACCAAAGTTGCCAAAATTCAGCACACATGATCAGTATACTCACCGTTTCTTCATCAGTATTTTGTATTTCAGGAATAGGATCACTATCATCAGTTTGTTCAAGGGCAGGTAACTCTGTTTCAATTTCACTACTTTGACAAATAATACTGTCTGAATTACTATCCCCCCAGGCTTTCATAACCTGAGAAATGTCATACGAGCCCGGGGGTGGGGCATCAGGGTTTATCACAGACATGGGGTTTTCGACAAAGTGAGCCTCGGGCAGCGAGTACTGCCGGGGGACAACCTCGATTTCAACAACTTGGGGATCCGACGATTGGTCAGAATCTGGCTGTTTGTAGTGGACATCTACATTAGGAGGGACAAAGGGATACACAGACTGGATGGATGTTGGACCTGGAGCTTGTGTGACGGAATAAGTTTGACCGCTTGCTTTCTGGCTGACGGACTGGATGGCTAAGTTCTGAAAACAAAGATCAATGTCCAGGTTTGTGTGCCTTTGGTCAACATTTGACCAAACAACGTCCAGCTATAGCTCTCAGCCTCATAATCAGTCCAGTATCCTGGCCATAGAAAAGGTCAACAAGGTTTCAACTAAGGGGAGTTAACTCTGAATGGGATTACATTGGTTAACCTTTTTATTGCCTCAGTTTACACTCACAAACTGTAAGTGATTGTATAAATAATGATATAAAAATATCTTGTAAGCATTAGTAGGTTTCATATATCTGTATGTATTAGTTACCTTTTCCCAAAAGCATGATTATATTTATACATATATCTATGTAAGTGACTTTTTCCCAAAAGCAAAAGTATGTATATTTGTTTAAGCCACCTATTCCTCAAAAGCATAAGCCGAGGATATATCATGTCCAGCTTGACAAAGCTGTAAAAAGGATTATGTCAATTTGACAGCTTTTTAACTTGCACTATATAAGTTTTAGTGCAGATTAGCACAAATGCATATATGATAGGGATTACAACTAAAATATTCAACTTATACAGAATACTTTTGATATGCTAATTCAAAAGCAAATTTCTGTTGTATTCTGGCTTTGTGTTGAGATTCCATCCACTGTCATTTATGAACAATTTATTACATTTGTCTGCAGTGAAAGTTTTACAGAAGATAATGGTGCCTACGTCTGGAGTTTTATTGAATTCCAACGCAGCACTTTAATTCATTAAGATCTTCCCATTAAATATTTCAATTTCAATAGAGTATGTGATGCGTAACATTATATGCTGCCACCTAGAGTAACTTAAGAGATTGTTATGTTATATGCAATATTCAAGAATGTAGAACTAAGAGGTGATACTGTACTGAACCCAACAGTGTGTAACTAAGAGATGATACTGTACTGAACCCAACAGTGTGTAACTAAGAGATGATACTGTACTGAACCCAACAGTGTGTAACTAAGAGATGATACTGTACTGAACCCAACAGTGTGTAACTAAGAGATGATACTGTACTGAACCCAACAGTGTGTAACTAAGAGATGATACTGTACTGAACCCAACAGTGTGTAACTAAGAGATGATACTGTACTGAACCCAACAGTGTGTAACTAAGAGATGATACTGTACTGAACCCAACAGTGTGTAACTACTGTACTGAGTGTGCTAAGAGATGATACTGAACCCAACAGTGTGTAACTAAGAGGTGATACTGTACTGAACCCAACAGTGTGTAACTAAGAGATGATACTGTACTGAACCCAACAGTGTGTAACTAAGAGATGATACTGTACTGAACCCAACAGTGTGTAACTAAGAGATGATACTGTACTGAACCCAACAGTGTGTAACTAAGAGATGATACTGTACTGAACCCAACAGTGTGTAACTAAGAGATGATACTGTACTGAACCCAACAGTGTGTAACTAAGAGCCCCCAACAGTGTGTAACTAAGAGATGATACTGTACTGAACCCAACAGTGTGTAACTAAGAGATGATACTGTACTGACCCCCAACAGTGTGTAACTAAGAGATGATACTGTGAACCCAACAGTGTGTAACTGAACCCAACAGTGTGTAACTAAGAGATGATACTGTACTGAACCCAACAGTGTGTAACTAAGTGAACCCAACAGTGTGTAACTAAGAGCCCCCAACAGTGTGTAACTAAGAGATGATACTGTACTAAGAGATGATACCTGAACCCAGTGTGTAACTAAGAGTGTGAACCCAACAGTGTGTAACTAAGAGCCCCCAACAGTGTGTAACTAAGAGATGATACTGTACTGGACCCAACAGTGTGTAACTAAGAATGATAGTACCCCAACAGTGTGTAACACTGAACCCAACAGTGTGTAACTAAGAGGTGATATTGTAGAACCCAACCCCCAACAGTGTGTAACTAAGAGATGATACTGTACTGAACCCAACAGTGTGTAACTAAGACCCCCAACAGTGTGTAACTAAGAGATGATACTGTACTGAACCCAACAGTGTGTAACTAAGAGATGATACTGTACTGAACCCAACAGTGTGTAACTACAGTGTGAGCCCCCAACAGTGTGTAACTAAGAGATGATACTGTACTGAACCCAACAGTGTGTAACTAAGAGATGATACTGTACTGACCCCCAACAGTGTGTAACTAAGAGATGATACTGTACTGAACCCAACAGTGTGTAACTAAGAGCCCCCAACAGTGTGTAACTAAGAGATGATACTGTACTGAACCCAACAGTGTGTAACTAAGAGATGATACTGTACTGACCCCCAACAGTGTGTAACTAAGAGATGATACTGTACTGAACCCAACAGTGTGTAACTAAGAGGTGATATTGTACTGAACCCAACAGTGTGTAACTAAGAGATGATACTGTACTGAACCCAACAGTGTGTAACTAAGAGATGATACTGTACTGACCCCCAACAGTGTGTAACTAAGAGATGATACTGTACTGAACCCAACAGTGTGTAACTAAGAGCCCCCAACAGTGTGTAACTACAGAGATGATACTGTACTGAACCCAACAGTGTGTAACTAAGAGATGATACTGTACTGAACCCAACAGTGTGTAACTAAGAGCCCCCAACAGTGTGTAACTAAGAGATGATACTGTACTGAACCCAACAGTGTGTAACTAAGAGATGATACTGTACTGACCCCCAACCCAACAGTGTGTAACTAAGAGCCCCCAACAGTGTGTAACTAAGAGATGATACTGTACTGAACCCAACAGTGTGTAACTAAGAGCCCCCAACAGTGTGTAACTAAGAGATGATACTGTACTGAACCCAACAGTGTGTAACTAAGAGATGATACTGTACTGAACCCAACAGTGTGTAACTAAGAGCCCCCAACAGTGTGTAACTAAGAGGTGATACTATACTGAACCCAACAGTGTGTAACTAAGAGGTGATACTGTACTGAACCCAACAGTGTGTAACTAAGAGCCCCGACAGTGTGTAACTAAGAGGTGATACTATACTGAACCCAACAGTGTGTAACTAAGAGGTGATACTATACTGAACCCAACAGTGTGTAACTAAGAGATGATACTGTACTGAACCCAACAGTGTGTAACTAAGAGCCCCCAACAGTGTGTAACTAAGAGAGATACCCCCAACAGTGTGTAACTAAGAGGTGATACTCTACTGAACCCAACAGTGTGTAACTAAGAGCCCCCAACAGTGTGTAACTAAGAGGTGATACTATACTGAACCCAACAGTGTGTAACTAAGAGATGTACTGTACTGTACTGAACCCAACAGTGTGTAACTAAGAGCCCCCAACAGTGTGTAACTAAGAGGTGATACTATACTGAACCCAACAGTGTGTAACTAAGAGCCCCCAACAGTGTGTAACTAAGAGGTGATACTATACTGAACCCAACAGTGTGTAACTAAGAGGTGATACTATACTGAACCCAACAGTGTGTAACTAAGAGATGATACTGTACTGAACCCAACAGTGTGTAACTAAGAGCCCCCAACAGTGTGTAACTAAGAGGTGATACTATACTGAACTAAGAGGTGATACTATACTGAACCCAACAGTGTGTGTATACTGAACCCAACAGTGTGTAACTAAGAGCCCCCAACAGTGTGTAACTAAGAGGTGATACTATACTGAACCCAACAGTGTGTAACTAAGAGCCCCCAACAGTGTGTAACTAAGAGGTGATACTATACTGAACCCAACAGTGTGTAACTAAGAGGTGATACTGTACTGAACCCAACAGTGTGTAACTAAGAGCCCCCAACAGTGTGTAACTAAGAGGTGATACTATACTGAACCCAACAGTGTGTAACTAAGAGCACCCAACAGTGTGTAACTAAGAGATGATACTGTACTGAACCCAACAGTGTGTAACTAAGAGCCCCCAACAGTGTGTAACTAAGAGATGATACTGTACTGAACCCAACAGTGTGTAACTAAGAGCCCCCAACAGTGTGTAACTAAGAGGTGATACTATACTGAACCCAACAGTGTGTAACTAAGAGCCCCCAACAGTGTGTAACTAAGAGGTGATACTGTACTGAACCCAACAGTGTGTAACTAAGAGATGATACTGTACTGAACCCAACAGTGTGTAACTAAATCATGGTACTGTGCTGCCCCTTGGAGGGTGTAACTAACTGGTCTAATTGTGATGCCATGGTGCTGCCATCTAGAGTAGATGGTAATAAAACTATGGTGCTGCCATCTGTTGTAGGTGGAAATAAAACTATGGTGCTGCCATCTAGTGTAGGTGGTAATAAAACTATGGTGCTGCCATCTGGTGTAGGTGGTATAAAACTATGGTGCTGCCATCTGGTGTAGGTGGTATAAAACTATGGTGCTGCCATCTAGTGTAGGTGGTAATAAAACTATGGTGCTGCCATCTAGTGTAGGTGGTATAAAACTATGGTGCTGCCATCTGGTGTAGGTGGTATAAAACTATATTGCTGCCATCTGGTGTAGGTGGTATAAAACTATATTGTTGCCATGGGGTGTAGGTGGTATAAAACTATGGTGCTGCCATCTGGTGTAGGTGGTATAAAACTATGGTGCTGCCATCTGGTGTAGGTGGTATAAAACTATGGTGCTGCCATCTGGTGTAGGTGGTATAAAACTATGGTGCTGCCATCTAGTGTAGGTGGTAATAAAACTATGGTGCTGCCATCTGGTGTAGGTGGTATAAAACAATATTGTTGCCATGGGGTGTAGGTGGTATAAAACTATGGTGCTGCCATCTGGTGTAGGTGGTATAAAACTATGGTGCTGCCATCTGGTGTAGGTGGTATAAAACTATGGTGCTGCCATCTGGTGTAGGTGGTATAAAACTATATTGTTGCCATCTGGTGTAGGTGGTATAAAACTATGGTGCTGCCATCTGGTGTAGGTGATATAAAACTATATTGCTGCCATCTGGTGTAGGTGGTATAAAACTATGGTGCTGCCATCTGGTGTAGGTGGTATAAAACTATGGTGCTGCCATCTGGTGTAGGTGGTATAAAACTATGGTGCTGCCATCTGGTGTAGGTGGTATAAAACTATGGTGCTGCCATCTGGTGTAGGTGGTATAAAACTATGGTGCTGCCATCTGGTGTAGGTGGTATAAAACTATGGTGCTGCCATCTGGTGTAGGTGGTATAAAACTATGGTGCTGCCATCTGGTGTAGGTGGTATAAAACTATGGTGCTGCCATCTGGTGTAGGTGGTATAAAACTATGGTGCTGCCATCTGGTGTAGGTGGTATAAAACTATGGTGCTGCCATCTGGTGTAGGTGGTATAAAACTATGGTGCTGCCATCTGGTGTAGGTGGTATAAAACTATGGTGCTGCCATCTGGTGTAGGTGGTATAAAACTATGGTGCTGCCATCTGGTGTAGGTGGTATAAAACTATGGTGCTGCCATCTGGTGTAGGTGGTATAAAACTATGGTGCTGCCATCTGGTGTAGGTGGTATAAAACTATGGTGCTGCCATCTGGTGTCTATATCCAATAAAGCTTTCATTTAAAAAAAAATTAAGTTTTAAATTTTTTCATTTGAACATTTTTAATATTTGAAGATTTCATCATACTTCTTCCTGTTTTGGTTGACAAAGAAGTAATTGTGATTCCTAGTAAAGGGCAAAGCTGAATTTTTATCAGTAAAAAAAAGAAAATTACTGTCACATTATTTCTGAACAAAAAAAAAAATAGCAAAAGCCTTAGATATCTGCATTCAATATGGGGCAAATATTCAAAAGCATTTCCAATAGGATAAGGAAACAGTATAAAATCAAATTACTAACATGAAAAGCGTGAATAAAGCTAAGATACTGTGAGTTTATATATTGAATTACAGAAAAAAAAAACAACATCCATTAGGTTTACCTCTTTACTTTCTGCACCACCAAACATCTGAAAATAGTTATAATGTTCTCTGATTACAATTTGTAGCAAGGGACAAAATGGCAAAGAGCTAAAGCCTGCTTTTCCTTCTCTAGCAAATTCCATCCTAATATTCAAGCCATCAAAATGGGTAATGCAAACTCTCAGAATATATGTATAAAAAGCTTTTAAATCTAAAATGAAGCAGGGAAGGTTTCAAAAAACAAGAAAAAATCACAGGTTTGATTGTTAACAGTTGTCTCACAGTCTTGTGATCTTCAAAATGACTTCATAAGTCAAACTGGTTATCAGATGTAATCTGCAATTTAATCCAATCACACAATATACTGTATAACTAGTCAGCAGAATATCAGCTATGACGATATCAAATCATGTACTACATTCTTAGCAAACTACGAGAATCTCTTCATCATGATTTTAGATATATATCAGCTGATGATGGTGTGATTATAACTTTATGTATGATTTATATCATATCATATGCACAGAGCGTCAATCACAATTTAAATCTCTCATGACTATTTATACAATAATAACTCTGGGTTGCATTCATGTTGGTTCTGTTACCCATATCAGGGTCTTAAAAGAATCAATGTCTCTAATATGTCATCTTTTGCATTGTTTAAAGTAATATCTAGATCAGCATTTGCAAAATCATGTGAATATGTGAATATGTCCGAAGAGGTAAGTTCATGAAATAAAGTATTCACAAAATTGTAAGTGTTTTCCAGTATGTGATACACCATAGAGCTGATATAGGAGACCTACCTCCAACTTTAACTCAGTCGGACATAACCTTGACCTTAATACAACAATATCGGGAAACATCGTTCTGCCGGAGACAGAATATGGTTTAATTTGTTTGCTGGGGTTATGACCTGGCAGGATCACCTTGAGATGGAATCTCTTTGGTATAGCTGGTGGCTTTCTCACTGAACAACATATGAGAGGCTTTTGCACGCCGTCCATAGCAATCAGGGTAAAGTGTCTTCCCAAGGACACAACTATAACAACACAGACCAGCCATTTCCCCATCTTCCTCGGAAACACAAACCACCACTAGTAGTAACCACTTAACACCATACTTTAGATTTTTACTCGAGAATTCTACGTCAAATCTCTACAATATGAGCCAGTGTGACTCCTGACAGCTTAGACTTTAAGCAATGACCTTGGACCCATTAAGTTTTTACCTTGATATTTAAAGCACTTAAGACATTGACCATGGCTCAAATCCCTAACATGATTGTCCTAGATACTCAATTACACAGGTTTCTTTTTTTCACAAAAAATGTTTTATTAAGTCATATTGTATAATAAGTACATTAATGTCATAACAACTCTGGTAAATCAGCACAGTAGTCCATACACATAGTGTCTCGTCTTCTGTGCTTCAACCCTCTATTTTAAGAAATATCTTATGACCCATTGAGTCTCCTTGGGTGATCAAACTGGTCCAATAAGATTTCCTGGTGAAAGAATTGTTCTGTCTGTTATCATGTGTATATCAAGCCGAATAAGGTATTTTTGATTTGGTCCCTGGAGTTCAATCCTCACATAAAAAATGTTCTTATTCAGTAGAAATTTCTTTTTCAATACGTTATACTTATTTTTGATTAAATGTCTGAACAGTTAAACACATATATATATAGAACCATCAATGTACATATATCAATATTGATTTACTCTAGGGACACCTCATCAATTCTCGAATAAACTTACACATCACGAAACAGAATGAATTTAACAATACAATGAGTTTTATTCAGCTGTATAACTGGTATTGGGCTCTGATAGTTCTGCTCCAGATATTGTATTGATTCCTGGAAGGTCCCCCCTAGAAGAGTCTTTAAGCTGACTAGACAGGTCACAGATAGGACATCTCCCAGCATACACATTACTTCTGTTAATCAAAGCAACATGTTTGTTGTTATATTAACAGATGTAATCAGACAGTGTGTGCCTCGTGTTGATCTCTAATGACATTGATAAACACTTCATCAAACAACTTTACTTTCATGTACACAAACACATTGTGCTCAAATAGTTTCACTTGGATAATTATACCCAAAAACCTGAAAATTTTCAGAGTTTTCCAATGAAATATGAAATCAACAACTTTTAGCTATTACCTATCAGACAGTCTGCATTCCACAGACAATACAACATACCACCGATACTCAGGAAATAAAAGCTGGAGTCTTACTGTAATCAGATCAGAATGTCACTAAGTCTGGTCAAAACTTATTGTCATCATACCAACAACAACGCTAAAATGACCATTTATGGTAGTCATAACAACAAAATTACAAACGATGACCATTTATGGGTGTCATAACATCGCCAACAATGACCATTTACTGTTGTCATAACAACAACATTGCTAACAATGACCATGTATGGTCGTCATAACAACATCAACAATGACCACTTACTATTGTCATAACAACAACAACGCAAACAATGACAATTTTTGGTTGTCATAACAACAACATCACAAATGATGACAACTTATGGTTGTCATAACAACATTGCCATATATGTACATATTTATGGTAAATATGACAAAAAAACTCATCTTGCGAACATGTAGGTAGTCACAACATCGCTGTCACTAAGGTTAATCATGGTAACCATATAAACATAGTACTACAACTTAACATGGTCCGACCACAAAGTCTCACTAGGGATTGTTTGTATATGGTTGTCATCAATTGTAACTACTGTTACCATGTCATAAGTTTTGTCATAACTGGACTGTGACTGCCACTGCTGTATCGTCATGCCAACAGGATTGCCACCACCATTTCATCACCATGCCAACAAGATTGCCACCACCAAAGCCATTGGGAGAGCAAGAAGATAAATCGAACACTTGAGAAATGAAGGACATGCTGACAGGAAGTAGTCATGCTTACAGGAAGTAGTCATGCAGAACATACAATATCTACTAGCAGGGTGCAGTTTTACTAAACCTAACTAAATATACTATAACTTTGTGTTTGTTCTAATTTTTTCTACTGCTTGTCAGCTCTGTTTCAATATTTGATACATCTCTCAGGTTGTATGTTCAAGTTATAGTTACACCAAAAGTCTACTTACATGTAATGTATCTAAAACATTGATAAATTCCTTATCTCTATGAAAGATCATACTGTGAATGATTTTAAATTTTTATTTTAATTCTTAAAACATTACTTCACACTTAAAAATTAATATATATTGATTTTATTTCACCGAATATTACTGACCAAAGAATTCAAAATTTAATTTTAGAACAGCAAAAATCAAATTGATATCAGATCCACTTCATTGTATTACTTACATATATCTGACAAGACAAAATAAACAAACATATTCTGATATGTTATATTTACAAATCCAAAGTCACATGGATATTAAAATAATTATAACCATGCCAAAGATTAAGTTAATCAGGACAGGCAAGAAAGAGGGAGATGGGTAATTTGGCTAGGGAGGAAAGGGAGATAACTATTAGCTGGATGGGAGCCTGGACGATGAATCTGAGAGCTGCAGCTTTCTACATTAGTACAAGTTTGACTGCAACAAAGTTAGTTAAAGCATGACAATTCAAGTGCTATAATAATCTGGTTCTGATTTTAAAATATAAATGTCATTCATCATAATTTCAATAAAACAATTTTCTGTGAATTTAACAGACATTATTTTTTCTTTCCTTTATTTATTTCAAAAATGAATTTATCCCATTCTATCAGATTCAATGCTATCTTTATTAATTTTGAATCCTTAAATATTCAGTAAATGTTGTTGGCATTTCAACTCCAATTATCTAATACTTGTTTGTTTTTTTTTCTCCCTGAACATTAGTATATTTCATAACATTTTTTCATGTTTTCTCATAAATTAATCATTCTAAATATTCTATATATGGTAACAACACAAACAAGATAGACTCTCTTTTCAAGGGCTTAAACATGATCCCATAAACGAAATTAGGCACTAGAAATTAGCCGATCATCATTAGCCAATCCTAACATAAAACTTCACAAATCAACTTTAAGCAATAAATTAAGTATGTCACTATGTGCAGAACTTAAATACAAGCATAACCAGTTCAAAATATAACATTTATGAAACTTAGGAAGTCCAGACTCTTCTTATATCTGAGATTAATGTTTCAAAGAAAAAAAATCAAAATTAACTAACAAAAACAAGAACAGAAAGAAAAACATTTAAGAAAAAATAAACATTACATCAAGAGAGCATGCAAATATCAAAACAGTCATAATGATAGTGATTAAAAGATGATAAAACAACATTGTAGTGTAAGTGATGGTCAAAACTGGTTGGACATCCAAAATAATGGTAGCTTTTGAGTCCTGTGCAAGTCTTAATGAATTTGTTGACCAAACGAGAAATTATCTTGTAATTACCAAGTCAGGCAGATTATGTCTGATTCAATGAAGGTGCATATGTTATTTTCTAAAGTCCAGTACTTATAGTGATAATATTCACTAAGCCATATGTTATAAGTGTTTTAACATCATTTTGTTAACATATAATCGTTATGTCTAACTTTTCTACATGTAGTACTAGTAAAACCACAGCGGTTTGTTAGAATCCTTATGTCACAGTATCACCTTCAAAAAAATTTCTATAAAAAGAAATTTCTGCCCTTATTTTTCAACAGTCAAAAGGTGAACATTTTAATAGGACATTATTACACAAGAATGGCTGAAATATCAATATTCTTCACCCATCAGTGAAGTAACACTTGTGATGCTAACACTACAAGCATTTCAAGGTCCGATTGAGAATCTGTATACAAACGATTTTCTAGCGGCGTTTATCACTTGGGAATAATATCGATACCGACATTTAGATCTAATGGTGAATTCTTTCTCCGAGATAAATTTGGACTCCGTCATCTGTATATATGTAAAATACAAACCAGACAAGTTTGTGATTTTTGTTGTTCAAATATCTACGCTCTTGATGGTATATAACACAGAATTCGCAACGCTGAG